TCCTTTCTAAGGTGGGTAAATTGAGGACCCAGATTGTGGGGGCAATAAGCTGACTTTGTATAAATATACAAAAGTATAAAGGCTATTGCTTAACACATTGTAAGCCGCCCTGAGTCTCCAGAGAAGGGCGGCATATAAATTAAAGCAAAAAAAAAAAAAAAAAAATCCTAAAATATCTGTGTCTACCGATTATTTCTCATCGTGCCAGCTTGCTTTGCTGGTTCAGACAAAAGCCTTCTGCTGGGCCCCCTCCAGGCCCTCTCCTGCCATGCATGAGAGTGAATGGGAGGAAGAGCTGTGAAGCAGGAAGCCCCATGAAATCCTTTGTTATGCCCTACATTCATCTGAAGAGCCCTGGCTGTGCCAGAGGCAGCCATGAGAATTCAGCAGTTTCAGAAGTAAAGTATTTTCTGCAATACAATATTAAAAGCGCATTACCCCTTTGGGCTGGATTACATTCATTCAACTAGGGGTGTTCCCTAGAGTTGGAATACCAGTAGACGATTTTCTCAGAAAGGGAAATGCAAGCAAGCTTCCTTTAAGCTATAGACCAATTCATCACTGATACTACAGATCTGAACCACGGTTATGTAACACTGAAAAGCTGGCCTTGTGAAACAGAATATTTTGACAAAAAACCAGATTGAATTCAGTGAATGAAACTCCATTAGGCCTCTTTTTAATATTGCATAATTGGGCTCATAAATGTGCAAGTTCACCTCTCTTTATGTCACTTATTTTTGTGCAGCTTTTTATTTAATCAACAGAAACTGTCTGGAGGAAATTACCAGCTACAGAGGGCACCGTCTCTGATTTTGTTCCAATTTGTAAGGGAAAAATCAAGTGTCCCAATGTGGCTTTTGTTCTGCAGAATTTAGGTTTGATAACATCTCAGAGGCTTGCAATCAAGATGATAATGCTCTAGCACGGCTTTAGGTCTCAGATTAGAAGGAAAGTTGGTTACTTGGTTGGAAATGCAATATAGATCTAGTCAGTATAACAGAAACCTTATTGAGACACAGATGATCCTGAATCCACAGTTAAGACAGAGAGGGATTTACTGGGAGAGAGAGAGAGGGTATCAATCCAGGGGTGAAATGCTCCCGGTTCAGACCGGTAGCAATGGCGGCAGGTGGTTCGGAGAACCAGTAGCAAAAATCCCTGCGCCCCCCCCACCACCACCAAGAGGAGGAGAATAACATGGTAGGGAAGATCTGAGGAAGGCAGGATGAACATCAAGACCATGGGAGGTGTGGTGGGAACCCATGGATGGGTCCCTCTTGAGAGCACTGGGCATGCCATTTAAGCATAATCTGAATGTCCAGCCCAAAGGGTAGTCTTAGCAGGGTGGTCTTTTCCCTGTAATTATTGCTTTTCCTTTCTTACTATACTTATCTACTTTCTGTTCTTTATTCCTCAAGAATGAGTCTAATCTATGTAATCCGACACAAATATTTTAAATGTGTATGAATACCTGAAGGTACTTTGACCTTACATTTTGACATACCTCCATGGAAGCACATACTTTTCAGAATGAGATAGCCATATACTTGAAAGAGAAGCAGTTCAAATGAATGCATCTGCAAGAGATGCTTGTCATGGAGTTGAAAACAATCAGAAAAGAGAAGCACATCCTCTCCCTCAGAGGATGACTCAGCTGCTGACCTCTCAAAGTCTACCCAAACATTCAGTCAAAAATCTGCCTTCCCTAAATTAAGCCCCTTAGCCAATAGATCTTGAGTCTGACACCCCTGTACTAGGTGTTCCAAGAAAGCATTTGCTGACCAATTGAGAGCAATAAGAAGAAGGGTTTCATGGCAGGAAAAGGAGTCTTCAAAATAAGAAGGCATTCCCTAAACAGGAAATATTAAAAGCTGCATTGCAAAACAATTCCTGTAAGCAGAAAATGGGAGAGGAGTAGATAGTGAGACTGTACAAACAAATTTAGCAAAGATAAAAAACCCCAAAGGATGGAAAAGGAACGTCTCCAGTGATGAACAGCCTGGAACTGAAGAGTTCCTCACGCTCTGCAACTGGAATACCATTGTAGCTGCTCTGCTAACATCATCTGTTCTGATGGATTAGCAGACCTGGAGAACTGTTGATGGACATTATCTGTCCAACACCCCTAATCCATGTTCATGGATGAATTCATGAGTCAACGGTATGATTGGCACACATTTGTTTCTGTCTGCCTTGGAGTAGTCAATTGTTAACAGCACAACTCTTTTCTAGGCACAGATCAGTAATATGCCCTGTGCAAGTGTCATTCAGGGTTTTTCTTTTCCCACAGATTCAAAGCTGGTCTTTCATGTATGAACCTTTCTGTAGGAGCTCTTTCTAGGTCCCACCAGTATAGAAATGTGTTCCTTGGTGTAGCTTACAGAGAGTGGTGTTTCCTCCATCAGCTATCATTTACTCTATAAGTGTTTCTCAACCTTGGCAGCTGGAAGGCAGGGGGACTTCCATGCTGGCTGGGGAATTCTGGGAGTTGACGTCCACCCGCCTTCCAGCTGCCAAGATTGGGAAACACTGGTATAGACTCTTTACTTGGCCAAATGAATCTTTGTTCATTGTTCCAATCCTGGTATTATTTTTCCTCCTGAACTACTATAAAGTTGCATTTGCTGCAAGACACATACCAGACTGTGTTCAGGAAGGAAAGGAAACATGCCATAATCATTAGAGATCATGGTTGCCGTGTCAGGTTCCCTGTTATTTCAATTTCTTAAAGTATACCAGGAGGCAGACATTTATTTCTTCTTGCTTCCTTCTCAGCTTTGCAAGTTAGCTAAACGCATCCTTTTGAACCTCTCCTGCCCAAACCCTTTTAAGCGTTTCTATTCACTCGCTCGATGAGCTCATTTCTTGGAAACGGCTATTCTATATTCCCCCTGCAGCCTTTCCAGCGGCCTCTGCTTCCTCGGCAGGAAGCAGTCATTTAATCACCCACAGTGGGCAACGCAAGGGGCTCTAAGGCATCCCCTTCCCAATCCTAGCCAGATGAGGGCTTACTCTGAGTAGAACATGTGGCCCTTGTTCCTTACTCTTCTGCACTTGTTTTGTCGAGCCACCCAAATCTGTTGGTGCTCCCTCTTTGCTGGCTCAGCCACATCCCTGGAGGGTTCACTCGAACCCTCAGAGAGAACAAAATGCCAAGACCTTACAAAGCCTCTAGAATAATTCCACTTCCAGCCTCCAAATGCTCTAAAATGAAATCCGAGGCAAAAGCCCACACAGTACAGCTGTAAAAACGATCACCTGGGCTCAGAGTCGCCCAATAATACAGAACCTGGATAAGGTGAAATGCAATTATGGAGCATGGAAACATTTGAGACTTTCAATCCACTTTCCAAAGAACTCGGAACAATCATACACGAGGCAGGTGCCACACAATCTGTTTATGTATATGTGTATCTCTCTATCTCCCTAAGACCTAGATAATGGCCGTCTACTGTTTAAGGACCCAGCCACTTGGCCGGAGCTGCACGTGCCTTTTCTCAGCCCGGGTGGGCTTTTCCCTCCCAGAACTCCCCAGCCGAGGTCGAGAGGCGCAGCCAGGAGGGCGCCTCTGCTGGGACGGGCGCAGGGGAGGCTCCCCGCAGGGTCCCCCCGCAAGACGGCAGCCACGGTCACCGCTGCTCCCCGCCAGGGTCTCCGCGCAGCCCCCAAAGACCCCCGAGGCCCCACCCTCCGGCAGGACCCGCTCTCTCTCGGGGGGGGGGAACTCCGGGCCAGGGGCGCAGCCGAGACCCCCGACCGAGCGAGGAGCGTCCCGGCGGCGGGAGGGCCCCTCAGGATCCCCCCGAGGACGCGGCGCCCGGGAAACCTGAGTGGGACTCGGCCACGCGCCCCGCCGGACACCTGGCGCCGGGCCAGCCGGCTCCCCCCGCGGCCGCCTCCTTACCCGCCGGCGCGGCCACCCCGCCGTCCATGGCCTCCGAGCGTCGCCTCGGCCACCCCGCGCGCGCGTGACGTCACCGCCGGAGCCTCACACACACACACGCCGCCCCCTCCTCCTCCCTCCCTCCCCCCGCGCTCGCCAGCACAGCGGACACCGCCAGCGACGTCGCACCTGGACCTCCGGCCACGCCCCGCCCGGCCCCTGCCCTCGCGCGGCCAATGACCGGTCCCGCGCCGGCTCCGCCCCTCTTCCCCGCCCACCGCTTCCGACCAATGGGGCCGCGGAACGAGACCTCGCCGCCCCCCTCCTCCTTTTAACTTCTCTCTCTGCGCCGTTCTATCCCCGCCCCTTGTTCAGCCGGGTAGCCAATCGGCGCCTGCCGCTCCCGCCGCCGCACGTGGCTGAGGATGCGAGCGACTCCGATTTCGGAAACGAGCGAGTCGGCGCCCGGCTTGAGTTCTCCCGATGCTGGACCGGGAATCCCCTCCCGGCTGCAGGGCTTTGCCAGCCTCGCCTGGTTTTCCCCGGACGGAGGGCGTGGAGGTCCGGCCCGGGGCCCGCTTCACACCCGGAGATGCTTCCCGCAAAGCCTTAAAACGCCGGCTGACTTAGCGCTGGCGGATGCCCGGAGCTTGCAAGAGGGAGGCAACGGGGCTGCTGCCCTGCTGAGCAACCCGCGCGCCTTCTCGAATCCGGCAAGGCCAAGTTCGTGCCGGAAAGGCTCCCTTCGAACGGCCTGCCCCAGCCACGAATCGGCGCCTCTGCCGCCCAAGAGCGAAGCCGTGTGAAGCGGGCAACGGTTGCTTCGAGGGCCCGCTTGGCTGGGGGAAAGCAAGGGGGGAGGGAGGGAGGGGACAGACCCGGAAGCCTCCGCGCTAATGGGGAGGCAGCGCCACAGTAAGGGGGCCTACCTGGCTCTGCGCTCCAGCCCCACCCCCCGGGGTGAAGTCCGGTTGGGCAGGTGGCCCTAGGGAGGAGGAAGGCTCCGAGAATCGCTGGGAAATCCCTGGCGCTCCTCCCGATGATCAGGGATGGGGCTCCCCTTCCGCTCCCAGCCATTTGCCAGGCAGGAAATGAACTCCACACAGCAGTAGGATAATGTAAAAAGGTGTTTATTCTGACTTTCACAAGAGTGAAAATTAGCGAACAGCAGTGTTGCACAGTGGTACCATACTTTGCTAACCACAAGCCAAGAGGAATTTGAATAGATGGTGCAGAGGAAAAAAAGGGGGGGAATACAAAGAGTGTGAGGCCGAGAGGGCCATGAAGACCAGAGGAAGTCCAGGGGTGGGTCTGCTTATCAAACAAACGTGACCGGAGGGGCCAGTGGCTCCCTGAAGCCAAGGAAGCCCAGAATCTGCCACAATCACAATTCAGCCAGAAACTTTTTCAGATTCTGTGGCAATTGTGTTCCCCCACCAAAAGCAGACAAGCCAGAAATAATCCCAACCCCAAAGACAATGGACCTTGGCCAGCACGGCCAATCCAACCGTCAACGTCTGACAATTCAATGCTATCCCACTATCACAGCCATTTGATTGTTTGTATAAGATTGATTTTAGAAATCCAGCTTTTCCAATGTGATAAAATTTCTAGCAAAGGGAGAAATAAAATATATTTTATTTTACAATGTTACAATGCAACTGAATGTTTTTTTGTTGACAGTAGGTGGCACTGATTTTCAAGGGATGGAGCCTTCTTGCTACCAAGTCTGATTTTGTGGACAAGCGATGGAACATTGCTGTGTGGAGCTAGGTCTGCCTTCCGTGCTGAAAGATCAGAGCCAGGATAGAATTTGGGCCACAAGAAAATTCACATTTGGTATCTTACTTCTTCTGTGAAAGGAAACGGTGGCGACATGCATCTTGCTCTTGAGATTTCCAACCTCGCCGCCCAGATCACAGCTACAGGAAAAATAAGCCTCAACCTCAGTGGGGTCTGACCAGCAAGCCTCTGTTAACATCCAAAAGACCAAAAGAATTGCAACATAAATATGTCCTTGAGAGATACTCTTCGTACAAAAGTATTGGCAGTCGGTCAAGTGAATGTTGCATCCTGTGGGCCCAGAAGATTCAACCGCAATTATTTTAAAGCATGATTCTTCCTCCGCCCCTTCTGTAAAGGGTTCTCCAAATGCACCCAGTACCATCATGTGAGACGCTCTGTGGCTGAAGCGCTGTTCAAACCACTGCTGCATTGGGCCCATGATTACCCTTCCAAAAAAACGTGTCTTTGGTAATGTGAAAAAGCTCACCCACCAATGGCCCCTTGGCCACATGTAAACCGTTTAAGCAGAATTCCTTGCTCTTGTCAAAAATGTACAGCTTCCCATTTGCGTAATAATCATAATTGTGAGGGGGAGGCATAAAATACTCAGCAAATTACCCCGTTAGAGACTGTCCTATACTCCTCCCAGTTAACCTATTCCAAATATGGAAAAAATGTACATTTCAGGAAGGAGAGTTGTATATAAATAAGAACAGCAGCTGGAATTATGTCTACCTAAATTAAAAGTTGATAGCTGCTACAAACCCTTTAAAACACTGCTTTTATCGGCGAGGAAGTGTGCTGCAGGACAGCTAACAGCCCCTCCAAAACCCTGAGATGAGAGATTCTGCCCCTCCCCGATTCCAGTAAATTTAGATATGCTACCATTTTAGGTTAAAGAGTCTTTTATCCTTTCATTTTTGTGATTGCTGGAAAAAGAAAGATGGTCTTTTATCACTTGGGTATGTAACAGCAGGAATGGGACACAATCCTCTTCAGCCAGATGTCTTATCTATAGAAGATATTACCTGGAGTCAGTTGGCTTTTGAGCAAGATGTACAGCTGGGTTCTGAAGTCTACTGATCTCCTTTCTCTCGCTGCTCTTGAGACACAAGGTAGTGGGGTATGTGACGAGGTCCATTGCTAGCCATCATGCCTGATTCCCTTGGGGGTAGCATCTCTTCCAGATGTTTGGCACAAGATTCAAACACTCCTCGTTGAGATACGGAGCTCAAAGCTAGGGTCACAGTTCCAGCCAGATCCTTGTGTGAGTTATGGCTGAGCTTCAGAAAACTTTAAAAAACGTTAACTCCATAGCTCTGGAAAAATAAGAGAGACTCCTCCTCACACGAAGACACTGGTGGCTTTTAGGAGCCCATCATTAGCTGAAGAATTGGACACCAAGAGGCAGACAGGGAGACAAGCAGCAGTCTGTGGCTGATTCAGAGCTCCGCAAGGTATGGAGCCAAGTTAAGCTATCAGGAGCCAGAACATGATGACCAGGGCCACGAACAGGAAGAGGCGAGAAAGAAACTGTTCATCCACATACTGAGGAGTCCCTGGAACAGCTAAGGAAAGCGAAAACAAAGCCCAGTTATCACCTTTCTGTTAGAATTTACCAACAGAACTTTAAGTTTTTCCAGAATTGGAGTTCTAGGTGTGGAACCTAAAGCTGTTTTATTAGAAAGCTTCCCTTAAAATGGAGTCCCTACAACTGTCTTGTCTTCTTAGAAATAGATGCGTTTTGGAAGGAAGACCTTCTTCCGAGGGATGTTATGGGCTCACTTCTCATTTAGTCACTGTAGTTATGTTAGTAATACAGTTCCTAAGTGAATCTGGTTTCCCCATTGACTTTGCTTGTCAGAAGGTTGCAAAAGGTGATCACATGACCCAAGAACAATGCAACTGTCATAAACGAGTCACTTGCCAAGCATCTGAATTTTGATCATGTGACCATGGGGAGGCTGCAATGGTTGTGTGAAAACCGCTCATGTCACTTTTTTCAATGCCATTGTTAACTTCAAATTGTTAAGTCGAGGACTACTTGTATTGTAAAAAAAAATCTTAATTCACTGGAAGGAGATTTCAATTAAATGTCAGAAAATGTCTACAAGCCCATTGAAGAGTTTAGCCAATGACCCAGAGAGATAATGAGCATCCCTTCCCTGGATATGTCCAAAGGGAAACTGGATGGACATCAGAGGAGAATGCTTTATGGTGGATTCCTGCCTTGGATTCCAGAAGAGGCCATGGCTTTTGTGCATTAGCTGTTCAGGAAGGCCATAAAAACGATCAGTGCAACAGCTTGCCTCCAGAAGGTGTGGGTGCTCCAACATTAGAGGTTTTTAAGAAAAGATTGGACAGCCAGTTCTCCAGATTGGTGTATGGTCTCCAGTTTGGGCAGGAGGCTGGAGTAGAGGACCTCCAAAGTTCCTTCCAACTCTGTTACTCTGTATTCTTCCAGGTTTTGCAAAGTTCTCCCAAAGCAGATGTCCCTGTTCTCTAGAGCAGGGGTCTCCAACCTTGGCAACTTGGCAGCCAGAGGAATTCTGGGAGTTGAAGTCCACAAGTCTTAAAGTTGCCAAGGTTGGAGACCCCTGCTCTAGAGTCTGCTACAACTCATCAGATAGTGACTCTGAAGAGGGCCATATACAGTACAGATGCTCATCGGGCAAAGTGAGATGATGAGCATTGATTCAGGGATGAATAGTTAAGCAAAACAGATCAGAATACTTGGCTGCACAACAACTGAAGCTCAATGGAGCAATGCCCAGTCATGATTAGCCAGGGTAATTTTATTTAATTCCTTACCTGGAGGGGGTCGCCCATCGTTTATATTGAAGGCTGTAGCAAATATGCCAAATGGAAATGCTCCAATTCCAAATGACATTTGGAAGCCTCCATCGCCAAAACCAAAACCCTGGAAACCCTAAAAACAAAGAAAGAAATGATCAACATGTAGATATGTCCTAGTTTACAAACTAAAACCTGACTGGCTGCAGTCTCTTTACTAGAGGGGCTTCCAAAGTGTGTGCTGTGAGAACATTGATCTGAAAGTAGAATCCCAGACCAAATGACTTTATGGACCTGGTTCCATTTCCCTTCCAACAGAAGAGAATAAACATAGCTCAGGGATGAACTGTGAAATCCTTGGTGCACTTCAAGCTTGGTGGTTTGTGTGTAGATGTTTCATTACCCAACTAGGGAGCATCATCCATGCTTCTTTGGCCTTGCCTTCTTGCATTCAGGTGGCAATTATTTTCTGCCATCCTTCCATACTTGGTCTCTGGATAAAATCTCATCTCTGCAAGGCTACGAGTGGAAAGGTATGTACGTCTTGGCCACTGTTATTCTGAAACTTTTCAATTCGGGGGGGGGGGAGGCTCCCTAAGAGAAGCAGTGAGGGACCTCTGCAGAAATGCAGTGACAGTAGTAAAACCTCAGAGTGTGTAATCCCTTGTTCAACAAACGTTTGATTACATTTTATTTCATTAAATGGATCCATCTGAAAAGGTGCTGCAGACTCCTGATGCTTGAGCTAAAGATCATGAAAGTTTATGCCTTTAACAGAATTTGTTAGCTGTGAAAGGGGGCTACAGAGTTCTGATTTTCAGGGCTTTGTTACTGTCCTCTCATGTGATTGTTTTGGGTGCAAGAGTATAGCGTGTTTCCAAGTTGACAGCATGTTAACTCCCCCAAGACTTTAATAGATAAGCACGATGGTTCTTTGCTGGTCAGAGGTTGCAAAACCTGCCTGAGCAACCTGAGCTTATCCCCATAGCAAACAGAGCCTGAGGATCAGAGATCACCTTCAGGCTGGGTAAGGCAGCCTGTGCGCTTTGCCATGGGAGCTTCAGGCAGAAGCCATGCCGAAAAGGTGCCCTCCACCTTCAGCACCTGATTTAATAAGGCATTGGCTCTCCAGGGAGTAGAGGATCGAAGTGCTCCTTAATCACCCCCAGCAGAGCTGTTTGTTTGATGAAAAGAAACCCAAGAGCAGCCTCTGGAGGCTCCCGCTGACTTGCATGGAAACAGGCAACTCTTTCGTCAGGCCAGGCACACTCCCCAACTCAGGGCTACGAAAGATTAAACTACTACTCCAGAGTCTGCTATTTATAAAATCAGCATTCACAATCTTTTTGGACACAACTTGCTGGCACCTCATGTAATGCAGGCTTAGTTGATACCCACTATATTTTAAAGCGGAGTTTCCAACCTTGGCAACTTTAAAAGTTGTGGACCTCAACTCCCAGAATTCTGAAATCACTGTCTAAAAGTCACTGCCTAAATCGGAGTTGTCCAACCTTTGCAACTTTTAAGACTTATGGACTCACAGAAGAGCTTTGCTGGCTGGGAAATTCACCCATTTTAAGAGTAGTCACACTGCAGCTGGAAGTTTGCAAAATCTACACCAGAGCATTATTTGTATCAGCAATTTAACTCACTCTCTACATAAATGGTCATCCAAGATTTAATTTGGCTTACAAAGACCTGAAGCAGACAAGCCTGAAAGATCTCCCAGCCACCAATGGCCTTGCTGCATTTTCACTCTGCACTTCCGAGAAGCACAAGCCCCTCCCATAGTCTCTGTACTCACCCCTCTGTTTTCTGGCTCAGGTCTCTGGCCTTGAGGTCGAGGTGGCGTTTTCTCCCTGCAAGACACAATCCATTATGGGGCTTAATGAGGATATTTAGCAGTTGGCTGCAGGCCCCAACAGGGAGTATCACCTCCGTGTTTCAGCAGACCCTGGCCCTGAGAACCCCACATAGGCTGGTATGAGCCATGTATGAGCAAACAGCCATTCAAGGAAACGTCTCTATCGTTACTGATTGTCTTCTGAAAAATCCCAATAAAGTTCCAAAAAGACAAAAACCTCCTGGATATCTGTTTTTTAAATTATTATTTCTAAGTTCCAAAGAAAGCTTCCACTGCTCAGTAATGCAGCTGCCCATGGCAGACTTGGACTATACCTGTGAAGCTTACGTAATGCTAAATTTGTCCATCCTTCAGATTCTTTCTTGCCTATCCTACTAAGATAGGGAGAGGATGGGAGGAGAAATCCCCAGAATCAACCTTGGCCATCTTTGCTTGTTGATTCTTGGCTTGTGAGCCTTATGGGTTAACATACCAAAATGAAGATGTGGAACACTATTTCCTGTCTCCAGCCTTATCATGTGAAGCTACATAGGACCCCACCCAGAATGCTGCAGCCAGGGACCGGCAGCACATGGAGCAATCTATTACCAGTAAGAAACATTTGAACGGTGAGATTCTTACAGGTAAGAAAAGGTTGCAGAAACCTGAAAACTAAATCTGAGTCAAAAGTAGCCAGACAGGTTTTCTTCCATGAATTCCACTTGAGGAGAACTTAAAAGCCAAAGGCTGTTCCCAGGAGAGGCCGTCTTACCTGGGGTCCTGTTGTCCAGTGCTGCCCCTTCCATAAAGTGGTATAACTTTATCACGGCTGATTCCTGCTTTACATACAGGGCACACCTGTCTGTTTGGCCTGGTCTCCAGCCACTGAAAAGCAGAAAAGAGGAATGGTATCTGGTGAAAACCTGGACTACAACAGAAGAATGCCTCGCATCTCCCAGGCCTTGGGGTAGGGAGTCTGTGGAACTCTGGTGTGGTTGCTAGTTGTGTGGCTTGTCTAGACACCTGGATTCTTTTTCTTGATTTTTCTATTTTAAGCATAATCACTTAGGAGCCGCCCAGAGTCATTTTGGAATTGAGGACCTCCTAAATGTACTAAATAAATAAAAAATAAAAACATGAAATACTACAAAGATGCTACCTATTGGCTTTACGGGTAATCCTTGTTTAGTGAGCACAATTAGGACTGGCAATGTAGTCATTAAGTGAAGAAAAAAAGGTGACCACGACTGCACTTATGATTTTACTTCAGGTTTCCTCTGCTTTACAGCATCAGGATACAATGTCAAACATCTGGCTGAGCCCAAATGGCTGAGAAAAGGGGAAATCTTACAGCCCTTTTTTCTCACTCCCCAACCCTTTGGAAGGCTCATTCTGATGCTGGGATAAGTAGCAAGAAGATCACTGATGTTTGTATTCATTGGAGAGAAAAGGAGTATAAGAGACTAAGCCAGCACACAATAGGAATATACATGGAAAGGAATGCAATGGTGTTTAGGAGGCAAATAAAAGCCTTTAGTGTGAAACTGACTAGGGTTTTGTCAATTTCAGGCTGCAGCTGCAAGGCCCATTCTAATCAAGGTCACAGAGCTGAGCTTGTTAACTTGCCGCACTACAGAGAAAAGCAGTTCAGGACAAGAGAGCTTCTTTAGGCAATCTCTCAGGGATGGGGGAAAAAAAAATGGGTCAGGCATAGGACAATAAGTACTACCTGACTGTAATGGTGAACATGGACTGAGAAACACTTTTACATTATAACTGAATTGTCATTTTCTGAGGCAGTCGCTGAGGATAGAGTTGATGAGGATACTGGTACTGTTTGCAGGGCCCAAAGTGTCCAGCTGTTTCCCCTCCCACAGAGTTCCCAACACTGTAAAATAATCCTGGTCTGGACAAAGGCTTGGCACTTCCATAATTCTACACTGTTGGGATTATGGAGAGGAGGAAAGCAATGAATGATTCGTCTGCAAGCCTTTCACCCAGTGGGAGATGGGTCAGCACCTTTTCAGACATTAAAAACTAAGTATGTCTGTCTGTCTGTCTGTCTCTGTCTGTCTGTCTGTCAGGCCCAGCCGAGAAACGACATAGAAAAATCCAGCCAAAGTTCAGTTCTTTATTTGTTCACACCAAATAAGACAGAATCTTGCCAGACTAAACTTTTGCTACTCTCACCCGAAGGGATGTATCCTGGGAGATTCCTCCGAGTGGCTATTCCTCTGTCTCCTATCCATCTCTGGGCTGTGTTGCCTCTTTTCTCACCTCCCTCCTTGGAATGTGCTCCCTCCTTCCTGTGAAACTGCTGCTTCCACAGTCCATCACACCACCTCCCTCTCGGTAGGCACAATCCACCACAATATCTCACCTTTCTAATCTGAAAGTTCACAAGATCCTTATGTGAGAGCGTCAACATATCACAGTGTCTTATTTGCTGTTGGGTGGTTGGGAAATGTGATTTAAGTCCCCCATAAATTCTAAGAGAGGTCTCCTAAAACCATCTAATCTGCCATCTTAAGTATTAATCTAACCTACCTCACAGAATGACAGAAAGGATAGCCAGAATATGTATCTTGAATGCTCACTGTTACTAAACAGTGGCATCTCATCCCTCTTTTCATAAAAGCCGCCAAACAGTAGATTGCCAATAATTGCATGGTTAACGCTAATTACCAAAAGGAGTTGCCTTGGGGAGGACGCACAATCCATTTAGAATTGGAAAGGCATACTGCACCTTCCCAGAGTCCCTTGGGAAACCAAGAAGGTGGACTGGGTAGCCAAAGCTGATGAAAGACAAAGCAAAGCAGAACCAGCCTTACCTGGTGTAAACAAGGCCAACTGCAGGGATTCCCAAAGTGATTTGTTCATAGAGTAGAATGTCCGCAGAGGTGGCAGTGGGGAGAAGAACCAACACATTACACGTTAGATGTGGACAATCAGAAACCTGAAATCCAGCTCTGCAGATTCGCCTCTCGGATAATACAATCACAGCATTTTAAAAGGCAACAGCAAAAGCAGGATTTTCCTGCTTCTTTAATAGCTGGTCTTCCAATTTATACAAACCGGCATAGACATTTCTTGAACTAAGGGACTCTAAAGTGGAACTCTCCTTATTAAGAAAGCATGAACTGAACTCTGCATAACCGAATTCTGAATTAACTGAATTCTGTAGAATAAGGAAAAGAACACCTCCCCACCCCCCACCCCAGGAAATACAGTGTGATACACAGCCTGAGTAATGAAACGACAGCACACACCGAAGAAAAGGACAGGATTACTTGCTCTGCCAAGTCTCAGATCTTGGCTCATCAGCAGGGCAGATTCTTGAATGCATTCTTACATGACCCATAGCTGTTGCACTAATGTCACTAAGATATTTCCACCCCTGTCAACTGTGGGTACTACTTCTGGAAACCCAGGATTAGTTAAGATAGGATGTTTTTATACTGATGTGAAATGTTATACTCTGGCAGAACCTGTATATATTTACAAGGCCCTCCAGGAACTCCAGTTTTGTAATCCAGAGTTTGGCACATTGTCTTCTCCACTCTTTCATAACTGTGGCTGAAGCTCATGGCCATTATACTGAGAGAAAACCAGAAAGTCTAGATTATGTGGCTGGATTTGGAGCTTGGGTACAAGGCAAGATTGTTCATTCTATCTGCTTTAAATTCAACACGTTTTGTTTTAGAAAAGGTAGGAGACGAATTTAAATTGAAATATTAATTCAGAGTGAACAAATACCATCACAATTGCATGCTGAAAACTGGGAGTGATACTGACCAGAAGAGGTGGCCACACAGACTGATCACAGCATCCTTGGCGGTGTCCAAACAGATGTTGCATTCAAATGTGCTGTCCTGACCCGTACTGTCCCCGTTGCTGCTGTTCCCACTGGTTCCACCTGCACTGGAACTTTCTGGGGAAGCTGAAGCCGCAGGTCCTTTGCTGGCCATTCTTGGCTTCCAGTTAGGAAGTCTCTGGGAAACTGAATCCTGGCAGAGCAAATAATAATAATAATAATGAGTTAGAAACAGAACTGAAAAAAAATCATCAAATGATTCAAAGTGCAGATTTTGTGCAAAGAAACAGTAGATCATGTACTTGGCTTGTGCAAGAAGATTGCACAAACTCATTATAAGCAACAACACGACACAGTCGCCAAAATGATTTGCTGGGGCACCAATAAAACTTATCATTTGCCAGTAATGAAAAAATGGTGGCAGCTATTAGTTGAAAAATAGTCAAAAAATGATCAGAATAAAATATTGTGAGATTCTGAATTCAAGCTAATAAAGTCTTGGCTCATAACTCCTGAATCAACTATATTTGGAAAAAAAACATAATTGTGTGGATAATTGATGGGGCAATACCAGAGAAAAGTAGAATAGAAAACAAAGGACTGGAGAAGACCACAAAGTATCAAGATCTGAAAATAGAAATTGGAAGATTGTGGCACCAGCTGTGGTGATTTCAATGATTATTGGCACACTGGGTACCATACCAAAAACTCATAACCAGAAAATCTCTGCACTGACAACATTTCCATGTGCCAATTGCAAAAGGCCACACTGCTTGGATCCAAGATAGTACCCAATAGTGATAAGTACCTTGGGGGCAATTCCAAAACTTTTGGAGCACCACTTGAACACCACAAGCATTGACAAAATCACTGCTAGTCAACTGCAAAAGGAAGTTTTACTTAGAGCAGCTTACATCCTGTGAGGATACCACTAACACCATCAGAAGACAATATTTGCCTATTCCAGATCCCTGGGAGGACTCGATAGGTGGATAAAAATGCCAGATCCAGTCTGAACATCTGGCTGACTGTGAAACCAATCATAATAATAATTCAAAACCATAATTATTTTGCTAACTACGCCCAGAAGATGATACCCCCGAGGCTAGTTGTGCAATAAGAGCACTTACAACAGATCTTAAGAGTTTAGAACAGGCAGGAGAAATCCTGACGGATTAAGAAACAATCAAGTCTTAATATGAGAATAAGAATCCCGTGGATGCTTTTTATTCAAGGTAATTTCTACCACAACACTGAACATGCCTGTTTCTAAACGCTTATTAAAGTTCGTTGCATGCATCAAGAATCTCTGCATTCTATAAATATATAATAATAAATATTACATCTCCACATGTTGCCCTTTCCAGAGAGCCCAGCAGAGCTTATCCGTGACAGAAGAAAGCTGAAATATGGGTTTAACAAAGTAGCATGAAAAACAGATAAATTCTCTAAAATGTCTAGCATTCAATAAGATATGTACAAATCTTTAGAGAAAGAGTCTTGTTAGCAGAGACCAGTCAGCAGCTGAAAGGAGGGTGGCAGGAGAACAGGAAAGCGCTCTTGATCATCAGAGGCAGAAAGGGAGCTTAGGGGCAGCTCCTTGGATGGCTGGAGGAACAACAGCCCAAATTCCCTCATTCAGAACAGTTCGCACAGGAAGGAGCCAACTCCAGTTAAAGGGTTAGGTTCCCAAAAATCTGTCTCTAAGAGACTGGGAAAGGTGCAGTGACTGGTTCTCCCTTCTGTATTTCCTGCTTGCCCTGAGGGTAGATAGGCCGAAACCCTGAGACGTCTCCTACCTTCTAAAATGGTCTGGATTTGACTCATGAAGCAAGCCTGCATTCTGAAGTGGTCTGGCCTGAAGGAGTTTCAGGATGCTAAACCTGAGCAGCCAGAACACAGAGCGCTTGGCTCCAGGGATGGAAGAGAACTGCAAGGGTACTAGCCGTAGCTCAGAAAATCTTTTGATCACCACTGCTAGACAAACAAACACCCGCATCAGGTTTTTTCCCACCTTTTCTGATTTAATTCAGCAAATGGAAAGAGCAGGGATGGAATGATCAGTTGTACAAAAGGAAGCCAGTCTCTTGACCCAAGATGAATGTTAGAATTATTTAAAATTCACACATAGTTGTGCTGCAACACAGCAATCGGGTCTTAACATTTTTCTAGCTGGAAATAGATCTTTCAATAGGAGAAAATGGACTAAATTGAGAAGAATGTGGCACTAAATTTGTGTTTTTCTGGCTTGAGGAAATTCCTCACAGGGATTTCTTCAGTGACAGATGCACCTGACAGATCTGAATTCCATCTAGGACAACTGAAAGAACCTGAAAGCCAAGAATTTTCCAATAACTATTTCTGAAATTGTTGCATTGAGAAACACTGCATTCTTAAAAATGCACTTGATACAGACTTAACATTACTTTAAGGACCCTTCACTACATGTATTAACATTAGCTAATTAATAGCTTTTTTTTTTACTTTTCTAAGCCAATATCTATATATCTTACTCTGGCAAGCTCCTCCCCTCCCCCAATTTGTTATAAGCGATCAGGCAGAAAGGCTCTGAAAAGCCTGCAACACAACAATCCCAGGACAGGGGCTTAAGGTAATGGTAAATATAGGTAGTCCTCAACTTACAACAACAATTGAGCCCAATGTTTTTGTTGCTAAGCAAGACAGAGGCTAAGTGAATTCTGCCAGATTTTACAATCTTTCTTGCCATCGTTGTTAAGTGAATCACTGCAGTTGTTAAGTTAGCAACAGGTTATTAAATGAATCTGGATTCCACACTGACTTTGCTTTTCAGAAGATCACAAAAGGAGATCACATGATTCCAGGACACAACAACTATCGTAAATATGAGCCAGTTGCCAAGCGCCTGAATTTTGATCACGTGACCATGGGGATACTGCAAGGGACATTAACAGTGCAAAACGGTCGTAAGTCACTTGTTTCAATGCCGCTGTAACTTTGAACAGTCACGAACTGAACTGTTGTAAATTGAGAACTCCCTGTATGAAGAAATCAGGAGAGGCCTTGGAGCCCTTTTCCCAAATAGCCCATCTTATTAAAAGGCAGGCGCTTTGGTAAGCTGCAGCTCCCTTCATCATTTCCAAAGGGCAGCTGATGGATAACAGAATGTTAGCCAGGCCAAGGTCTCCTCCCACACTCAATGCCTCTAACAAAGGCAGCTGTGGCTCACCAAACTTTTTAACCTTTTAATAAAATGTGAAAGGCAAAAAAAAAAAAATTGCTCAAGAACACACAGTAACACATCCCTCTGTAACAGTGAGATGGACAGCATATAAATTAAATATAGAGCCCTGGTGGCACAGCAGACTAAAGCACTGTTATTAACATCAGCTGCCTGCAATTACTGCAAGTTCAAATCTCACCAGGCTCAAGGTTGACTCAGCCTTCCATCCTTTCTAAGGTAGGTAAAATGAGGACCCAGACTGTGGGGGCAATAAGCTGACTTTGTATAAAATATACAAAAGTATGAAGTCCATTGCTTAACACATTGTAAGCCGCCCTGAGTCTCCGGAGAAGGGCGGCATATAAATCAAATTAAAAAATTAAAAAATAAATAAACAATGCACCTCATGAAAAAAGCCAAAATGCTGCTAAAAGGTTTTTTAAATTATTATTACTGCTTAATCTACTGTTTTGTCTGTCTACAGAGGAAAGCTGCGTTTGGGAAAACTAGTTTCGTATTGTGTTTCTCAATTCAACAGTATGACAATCTCAGGGATCCCTGGAACAGAGCTACGGTTGGGCTGCTGACCCACCAATAGGAAATGTGAGCTGGGATTAGGCCATCATAAAACAGTTTTACTCTTAGTTTTACTTAGTTTACTAAGTAAAAGTTTTACTAAGTTTACTAAGAGTTTTACTCTTCTGATGTAAAATCTACATCTTTTAGATTGCATTAGGGTTCAGTACACGAAGAATTGCAAGATATATTATTTTTTGTTTTCACATAGAAAACAAGTGTACTCCCAGACTCTCTTATGGCAATACATCAAAACCTAGTTAAAGAAGGGTGCCCTCAGCTGTTGCGACCTCACCTGAAACAAGGCTGCTGCTCAAAACTACTGATCAAATCTTAGCTAAATAACATCCAAACCTACAGCCTTTTAAAGTCATAAAATACTTGGGGATAAGGACGACTTCCTTCATTTTAGCTAATACATTCAAATACATACAGTAACAACAATAACCTCTGGCCTGACTCACCTGAAGCAATCTCTGCTCACCTCCTATGCAAATATTTCCAAGAAAAACCAAAGCAGCAAAGAAGACGTCTGTATCTTCCCTCAGCCCTGATGAAAATGTCCACCCACAACCAGCCACAAGAAATCCAGGGAGACTTCATGCCCACAGTATCCAAACACAAGTGGAGAAAGAGAAGATCTCTATTTCAACAGATTTTTTTCATTCAATTACATCATGCAGGATGCCCCCAAAGGACAACATCACAATCTGCTAGCAAGCATCTAACAGACCAGCTTTGCCAGCTCCGAGCTCTCTTTAGTGACGTCAAAGTGTGCAATTTGAATGAAAAAAAGGCAATAGTGTGGGCAAATGTTTCATGACATCTTGTGCTTCCTCCCCACAGAAAAAATATTCTCTACACTCAGATATGGGAGATAATTTTTTTAAAAAATATTTAATTTAAATGCTTTTTCTCTGTGACTGAAGCTTCCATTGTGAAATCTCTACATCCATGTTACTATTATTTGACTCTTTGGTACATTAATTACTGCAATTATTACAGTTGAGATGGGCAGCCATAGAAGCTGAATAAATAAATAAATTATAGCCCTTCAGGCAACGAGTCTTAAAGCCATTTTCTATGCAAGTGTATGATATGTATTTGGAAATAAATTCAGTTTGTTCATTGGAGCTTTGTTTTTAAAAACAAACAAGGAAGAGGAGGTAAGTGGCATTATTCCTTATATGTAATCTTTACATTAGCAATAATTTATGTACAATAATGTGATCATTTACCCGTACTTATATACCAGCATCAAAACATTAGGTGAACCCTGTACCACTCACTAGGAGCAAGCCAACTAACTTTTAGAATAGGACTGGAAAAATCTTAGATGGCACAAAAGGGTCTAAAATTCTTATTCCGAAAGTAGTAGTGCTGAAATATTTAGGCACCACCTGACTCTGGATGATTTACAATACAAGGGGGGGGGGGAGGAAACACCCAAAAATAGTGATTTACATAAAGAGCAACTGGATTTTTAAAGTGAATCTTAGAAATTCAAATATCCTTCTACTTTGTCATAAATTGTACTACATTCTAAAAAAACCTAATGTTTAGTTGCAAAACCATTCTAAATGTTAAACCCCAAGGAAGGGCTATCCTGGATCAAGTCTGAGAGCTCCTCTGGCCCATGGAAGTCCACGCACAGCCATCCCTCACGACAAATAGTCACAAACGGCTTCAAATTCAAAGCCGCATCTCGAGGCAGTGAAGAGTCCATCATCCCCCATGAGACAACCTGAGTTTAATCCTAGAAGTTTAGAAAAGTGATTTTCACCAGCTCTGGCCTCAATGCGGCCAATCCTGAGGCTTGTGGCTGATGGAACGAAATGTTGGCTTGTTCGAAGAGTGAGATGGAGGTCGAGACTGTGAGGTATTTTATCATGATACATTATTATCTTCTTCCTAGCCTTCTCCCCCCCCACCCCCCACCCCCACAGCTGGAGGGTCTGTTCTCTTTCGTCGGACCCAGCGGCTGTTGACCCACTGACGGCCAGAGGGACGGATCCAGCGGCCCAGGGGCTTTGGGGCCAGAGCCCACCGTCGCCTCCTCACCTCAGGCAAGAGGGACGAAGGCAGAGAGGATAAAAGGACCCTCAGCACACGGGCGCTGCCTTTCCAAGCGCCCCCTCCCCCACCGACCCCCTTCCCTTCCCTGCCCCGCCCCCCCCTTTCCCACGGCAGCCTCCCCTCAGGAGAGCCGCCCCGCGCCCCCACTGCCCTTCCCGGCGGAGGAGCCCCAGCCCCACCCCGCTCAGGGCCGGTCGGTGGGGGGCGGCTTCCTTCTCCCCGGGGGCTTCCGGCCGATCGGCGAGCGCTCCTCCGGCAATCCCCGGCCCGTCTTCCAAAGGCCCGCAGACTCCTCCCGGCGCCCCCCCCCCGCTCACCGGAAGGGGCCACAGCCGCCGCTCTCCTTCCCGGACGGCGTACGCTTCTTTCCCCTCCCAGCCGGCCGGAAGTGAGGCCTGCACCGGAAGCGCCTTTCGCCCCCGCGCCGCCACGCGCCACGCGCCGAAGGTTCCGGCGGCGAAAAGGATCCGTCCGCGTGGCCTGGAAGAAGTTCACGGAGCAGCGGACTTTCCTGACTCAGATTCCCGCGGGAGGCCGCGCGTCCCGCGTTCGCCCTCCCCACTGCCGGCGCGCCTCAGCGGCCTCCGGACTACGACTCCCAGAGTGCTCCGCGGCCAGCACGGCTTCGCGATGGCGGCGCCCGAGGCGAGCGACAGCGAGGAAGAAGAAGCGGCGGCCTGGCAGCGCCTGAGGGAGGCGGCCTGGGATCCGGCGCTCGGCCGAGCGGCCGCCCTGGCTCCAGCCGGTAGGGCTTCTGGGCCTGTGAGGGGCTCGATCCGTCCGGCGGCTGGTGGCGACGGCGCCCCGCTTGCCAAGGGAGCTCCGTGCGGCCCACGCCGGCCCTGCGCGTCCCCGAGAGGCTGCCCGGGCCCTTCCGGCCTCCTGGGACCTGCGGGGCTTGCTCTTAGACCGACGCCGGGGAGGCGAAGCGAAGCGCTGCGGTTGCTGCCAGGAGGGATCTAGGGCAGGGGTGGCTCAGCTTTTTGCCATCGAGCGCCCAAAGCGGGGGGAGCGCTGGGGGGGGGGGTCGCGCACGCCCCCATACTTCTACGGGCCCTCCCCCCCCCCCGCGCTCCCCCCGCTTTTGGCACTCGATGGCACACTGGGCCACCAGACTTCTGGTGGGACTGGAGGTCGGAAAGCGAGCCGTTTCCGGCCTCTGGAGGGGTGGGGAAGGACATTTTCGCCCTCCCCAGGCTCCTAGAAAGGCCCTGGAGGCTGGGGAGAGCGAAAAGCAAGACTTTCTCTCACACACACACCCGTAGGCCCTCCAGAGCCGGAAACTGGGTTTACTGACTTCCAGTGGGCCCAGAAAACCCAAAAATCAGCTGGCGCCGGGCACATGTATGCACACCAGAGCTCAGCTCGCTTGGCCACCAATATGGCTCCATGTGCCACCTGTGGCACGCATGCCATAGGTTCGCCATCACGGATCTAGGGAGTCGGGGGGGGGGTGTTGTATGTATACCTATATATATACCTATGTTTTTATATACATACACATGTACGCACACAAACATATAAGCAGATAACCCCCGGCTTACAACAGTTCGGTTGGTGACCATTCGAAGTTACAACGGCACTGAAAAAGGAGACTTATGACCGTTTTTCACACTTAACGACCGTTGTGGTATCCCGATGGCCAGGATTCACATCACTGCTTCGTATTTATGATGGTTGCCTCATCCTGGGCTAATGGAATCCACCTTCTGACAAGCAAAGTCAATGGGGAAGTGAGATTCACTTAACAACCGTGTTACTAACTGAACAACTGCAGTGGTTTACTTAACGGTGGCAAGAAAGGACACAAAATGGGACACAACTCATTTTGATTGTCTTGCTTAGTAAGGGAAATTTTGGGCTCTCTCGTCATAAATCAAGGACTACCTGTATGTGTATGTACAATTCTATGTAATATAAGGCATAATAGATGTGCTACAAATACAGTCGCGTAAGGAGGAGGACTCAAAACCCATCACCTCCCTGTGACAAAGTTTGTGCAACAGACTTGGCTGGGCTCTCTGGGAGATACTTCCAATCACTCAGCTCTGCCGGCTCAATTTGCCCTTGGAGTTTAGTATTGCTTTATAAGGCCTTGGTAAGGCCACGCTTGGAATTTTTGGTCACCACAATGCAAAAAAGATGTTGAGACTCTGGAAAGAGTGCAGAGAAGAGCAACAAAGAGGATTAGGGGAGTGGAGGCTAAAACACAGGAAGAACGGTTGCAGGAATTGAGCATGACTAGTTTAATGAAAAGAAGGACTAGGGGAGACATGATAGCAGTCTTCCAATATCTCAGGGGCTGCCACAAAGAAGAGGGGATCAATTTATTCTCCAAAGCACCTGAGGATAGAACAAGAAGCAACGGATGAAAACTAATCGAGGAGAGAAGCAACCCAGAACTAAGGAGAAATTTCCTGATAGTGGGAACAATTAACCAGTGGAACAGAAGTTGCCTCCTCAAGTTGTTCCAACACTGGAGGCTTTCTAAAAGGAGGGATGCTTGCTTTGCCTCTTCTGAGGTCTGGACTTTGCCCTAGAGATGACCCGTGTCTATGGAATAGTCTGAGGCTGCAACTCTGCTCATGTTCTGATAGCCAGACACCCCCAGAGCATTGGAAAACGGGCAGAAATGGTTAGTGGTGGTGCATATCCCTCTGCGGCTGAGACCTGTTTTGCAGTAAGTCTGATCCTGTGTGTGTTGCTGATGTTTTTAGATATTTATGCTCTGTCTGGTTAAAAGAAAAACCTGGGGCAGGAAGCAGACTCTTCCTTATACTGACTGGGAGAACTGAGAAAATGGCTGGCATGCAAAAACAATCCAGCCGTCCCTTATTATGTGCTGACACTTCATGAAAGTGGATCAACTGACAGTGTGAGGAGAGCTGTGTCACATGAGCAGATCTTTGTGAAACAGGTCTAATGCAAGCAAACGTAGCTTCAGAGGGATTACAAAAACAGGAGCCTCCCAAATGGGAAAAAAATCCTTTGCAGAGCTTGTTTCGGCATCACTGTCGAGGAAGTCTCACCCAGCACCCGCAGGTCTCGCCTATCTCCATGTTGTATCATCTGACATTTAAGGCTTCAGGAAAAGATCTTAAGGACAAAGAATTCAGCATTAAATTGTGGCGAGAAATTGGGGTCAGAGTTCTTCAGACTAAATGTGCCAAGAACCACCAACCTTCTATTCCTCAACTTCCAAGCATCTAGTCTCAATCGCGTCCCTCCACCACTAGACAAATGTCTCTCCTAAAATTCAGTACAAGTAGTCCTCACTTGCTGTCTGAAGTTGGGACAGTCCGTCACTAAGTGATGTGGTTGTTAAGTGAATTGTCTGCAGTCATTAAGCGTGACATTTTGTGACTTCCAGCCAGCTTTTCATGGTCTTTGCTTGTCAGAAACGGCAGCAGAGCTTGTGGTTGTGGTCGTGTGACTGCACAGATGCTGTGACGGCCACAATTTCAAGAACCAATTGTAAATCTTCTTTTTCAGGGCTGTCGTACTTTCTGATGGTTGCTAAAGGGGTAGTTGGTAAGCGAGGACTACCTGTACAGTATCCAGGACTGGAATCCATATATCAAGTGCCATCTGATCAGCATAGGACAGAAAGAAATGATCACTTATTTTTATCGTCTATTGATGCTGCTTAAAATTGTACAGGTAGTCCTCAGCTTACGACCACAATTGAGCCCAAAGTTTATGTCATTAGGTGAGAAATTTGCCCCATTTTATGACTTTTCTTGCCAAAAGAAAGTGATAGGAAGTGAATCACTGCGGTTGTTAAGTTAGCAAAAGGCAGCTGTTAAGTGAATCTGGCTTCCCCATCAGCTTTGCTTGTCGGAAGGTCGCAAAAGGGGATCATGTGACCCCAGGACACTGCAACCGTCATAAATATGAACCAGTTGTCAAGCATCTGAATGTAAATCACATGATCATGGGGATGCAATGGTCAAAATTGTGAAAAATGGTGGTAAGTCACTTTCTTCAGTGCTGTTGTAACTTCGAATGGTCACTAAATGAACTTTTGTAAGTCAAGGACTACCTGTATTTGCCTTTCTTGCTTCACTGTCACACTGTTGGCTTCTCTTCAACTCGTGATCCATCGAGACATCCAGATGCCTTTCCAATGTCTGGTTCATCTGTCCTTTATTTTTTTATATATATCTTTATTTTTTTCTTGCTTAGATGTGGGACCTTGCTTTTGTCTCTGGTGACATTCACGCTGCTGGGTTTTGTTCAAAGGAGTCATGCTGTCTGCTTTCTGTCAACGGATAACCATTTCCCTAGTCGCTCGTCAAAGCCATTTTATCCAACAGAGCTGGCCATCCTCCCCTTGATGCTCCCCTCCAGCTTAGCCCAGAGCCATGGAGCGTTCTCTGGTTACAGCCGTTCAACCAGCTCTGCATCAATTCAGGGGGAGCATTGCCTGACCTCTGTTTTACTGGCTTCTCCTCTACTTGGCTCTGAAGGGAGACTTTGCCAAGTGCTGCGATGAAACTCAAGCAGAGGGTCTGCGCTGCATTCCTGTGGTCAGTTAAACTGGACTTTCCATCAAATTCTCAGTGGACCACTAGGGCTTTTTCTGCCATCAGTTTTCTATATTTCTACATTCCTTAGTCACAACTGTTGTGAATTCACATTGAAGTTTTTTTTTTATTTTTTATTTTTTTGTTTTTAGAGAATTCTTGGAAAAGGAACCAGCAAGCCGGTGAACCCAGCATCAGGTAATTAAGCAGTCCCCAATTGCACCTACTAGACATAATTCTGACTCTTAAACAGTGGCCCCTCTTCCCTCCACCAGTAAGAGAAAGGTATGTTTGTGGATGAGGAATACTGAGGAGAGAAGGCTGAAGTCCTTGACTCCCGACATACTAACTTCCCAAAGGCAAAATGTTCAGCCGCTGCCCCTCCAAAATCCCCCTCCAAAAAGGGGGGTGGGAGAGAGAGCACAGCCCCTGAAGAGAAATAGCGGAGGCAGTACTTACTCAGGAGAAGGCTGTTTCTTCACTGAATTGGGGATCATTTCCTGCAAGTCACATTTAGAAAGTAGAGGTCTACTACACTGAAAGCAGGCGGATCCCAAATCAGATAGGGTATGGTGTTTCTTCTCCCTCAACTTTCCAGAGACATCCGCTGAGGAGCACGGACTTCGGTTCCCAGCATCCCAGCCATCAAAATCATTGCAGAGACTGTTGGAAACTGTAGTTCATACGAATTATCTGTCCTGGATGATATGAACTGCAGTTGCCATCATTCTCAGGGATCCCCAAATCCATCCAAATGATTCTGTTCAAGGTGAACTATCCAAATAGCAAGTGCTTGAGGGACGTCTTCCAGAGATTATTCCTATGGCGAAGGGAATCCCAGAAAATAACTGAACCTTCTTTCTCCTGAAACAGAGAGAAGATCTGCAACCATGAGCAGGATGGAAATGAACTGCAGACCACACCAGAATTTCGAGCACACGTTGCAAAGAAACTGGACACGATCTTGGACAAGTAGGCACAAGCATTTTATTAACATTTCCCCTTAGTTATGGCCTGGTGAGAGCTTTTCATAGAGAATTCTGAATAGCAGTAGCAATACACCTAGACTTATATACTGCTTCACAGTGTTTTACAGCCCTCTCTGTAGACTGAGTCAACCTTGAGCCAGTGAGAATCGAACTGGTGGCACTTGGCAGAATTAGCCTGCAATACTGCATTCTAACCACTGTGCTATCATGATTCCTGAATAGTACACTTTACATTCCCGCCCCAAGGGTCTTATTGAGATACTGCAGATACCTCTTAGTTAGTTGGTGATATGCAGGTATCAGTATTGTTGCTTGCAATACTGATACCTGCATATCACCAACTAACTAGAGGTATCGGCAGTATACCTAGCAGTATACAGTATATCTAGCAGTTTCTAGATTAGAGATCCTGATTTGCACAGAATCGCGTGAACATCCTTGGGGTAAAATTCCATGATGTACTTCTAACCCAAATGTGCAAACCTGGTTGATATGGTCCTTGGCAGGGAATGCTTCGTGTTGCATGAATACAACCAAGGCTGGTGGTCCGATTTATACATTCATTCACTTCTTTCCAATCAACATGTTCCTTGAAAATCTTGATGGGTAGCAGAAGTCAATATATAAATTTTATATATATATTGTTCTTTTTTCGTAGATCTATATGTGCATTACTGTTTAGCCAGGGTTTTTCCTACGTAAATCAAGATGTTTGTATAGCCATAGTTAAGTGACATCCCAAATCACTATTTTCTAGGCTTTATCAGACATTTAAGCAGCATTATGTTGTCTGCTGCAAGACTTAAGGGAGACTAGAATAGATCTATTTTGCCTTATTTGGCTTCATCGGCTAGCCACACTCTCATTTTATGACTCCTCCCTGTAATGGTCAAATATTTATTTGGCTAGAACAGTAATGCATATATATATATAAGCTTTCGTCGGCCCCTACTAACTTCGTCAGAGTGTAAAATCCCCATTGAGGAGCTGCTTGCTTTTATGTAATGCTGATCAGTTTAGTCATTGTGCGTGTAACAGGCCCACACCCTTGCCTTCCCCCTGTAATTATCTTTTTTTCTGCCTTAGTCATGCTAACAGATGACAATGCACTTTCCCCTGCCTCCTTCCCCATTGTGTGTTGCCTCTTTCTCTCCCTGGGGGGTAACGCAGGGTTATCAGGCATTGCTTTGAAGGTACCTGGGCCTGTTACACGCGCAATGTCTAAATTGATCAGCATTACATAAAAGCAAGCAGCTCCTCAATGGGGATTTTACACTCTGACGAAGTCGGTAGGGGCCAACGAAAGCGTAGCACAAGTTTTAAAATAAAAATTTTTAAACTTTTAAACGTTCCGGAGATTGTGATGTCTATCGCCTCTTCTATAACTATACCTGGAACTCGCATCTTTAGGACAATTCATTAAGTGTTTTACCGAGACACCTGGTCCGCGTCATTGTAAATAAGTTGGTTAAAATATTTAAAATCCTGGTTAAAATCCCAGCTTAAAAGCAGCAGCAAATATAGATAAGCGACAGCTCCGACCTCGCAACAGAGAATCCATAGTTTCCAAACGAAACAAGAGCCTGAAGATGACAGGGTTATGAGCTTGTCGAAACGTTGCTATAAGAAAAACTTTTAAAGTCACTGGTAGGATTTTAGCTGAGGTTTTAAAGGACCTTGCAGAGTGCTCTGTGGGGATTTTTAGAAGATTTTAAGATGGGATTTTAACCAGGATTTTAAATATTTTAACCAACTTATTTACAATGACGCGGGAAAACACCCGAGATTTTAATTTTTTGCATATGCACACCCGTGAAAACTTAAGAAGACATATATATGTGTGTGTGTGTGTGTGTATAAAACATACAATTGTATGAATGTTTAAAATAACTAAATAACTAGTGATGACAGTGGCATTTGGAGGATGGTGGCTTGGCACATAAGAGGAGAGAATGGCAGAGTCCTTGAAGTAACGACTGAAGAAAAGAAATACAAGTAGTCTTCGCTTAGTAGCCACCTTGTTTAGGGACTCTTCGCAGTTATGATGGTGATGAAGCAGTAACTTTCCATCCAATCCTTGCACCTACACCTTTTCAGGTCACAGGAAAACTGAAGTGAAATCATCAGCACAGTGGCAGTTTCTCTTAGTGGCCACTTTGTTTAATGACTGAGATGTGAGTCCCCGTTGTGGTCACTATATGAGGACTCCCTGTAGATATAACACAGGTCCACAAAGCCAAGAGAAAATGACAAGATCTGAAAGAAAGTGATTGCCTTGTGGACTGGAGTGGATGACAGGAGGGCTAAAATACAGGTCAGGAAGCAGGCATGAGTGTTATCTAGTTATCTAGTTGTGATGGTTGCAGGTGAAAGTAGGGACTCATAAGCTGGAGGTATTTGCATGTGACACACCTCAGTGACGGGATAACAGAAGAATCAGAGATGACTTTACAGGCAAAATGTACAACATTCCGAATGTCACCAAGGGCAAAGTTTTCATAATGCCATCCATCTCCCTGTCCAGCAACTCTGGGCAGTTAAACTATTCCATTAAGTGCCCTGAATGGATGTGTCGAAACAAGAGGAGAGATTATTAACCTGACTTTCCTTCTTTGAAACTAACCAAATAACAACTGATTTCAAAATAACCCTCTATCTTGGTGAAAAGGTCCATTAACTTCCCCCATCAGCTGTGCTAAAGTCCTAGATTTCTCCAGGCCTTTCTCTAGCTGTGGGAGGAGGGGAAAACATCTCTGGATGCTCCTGACTTTACTCTTTTCCTCTTTTCACCAGCTTTCCTGGTGTGCAAAACATGGGACTTGTCTGGTGCCCCCTGAAGTCATTTGGCCAGAATCAGTTCTGCTGGTCTGGGCCCATATCTCTAGTTTACGGGGCCCAGATTTTGGGGCCTTTGCTCTTCTGGGAACTTGGGCCAGCTAGGAGTGTTAATGATCAGCAGGCACTTGGTTGCAGATTTAGCCTGTGTTTTTTTTCAGGCATGAGAGGCCGCAAGAAAACTCACTGCTAGCCTTCTTTGGCACCACGCTCAGTGGCAGCCCTGGCTTCCTCTCTTTCTCCATTGTGCTTATCCTGCTTTTCCTTTCAGTGTGATAACCCTCTCGACGTGCCCATTGCGACTCCCGCGACATGGGAACAGCGCCTCCCTGGAAGAAGACAATGGTGAGCCACTTGCCTGGAGGAAATCCCTGGGGGTAAACGTGTCCTGTTCCTTCAGCCTGCTGTGTCGGGAGCTCTAGAGCAGGGAAGTTGTGCTGGCTGGGAGCTGAAGTCCCTAGAAGGTGACAAGGTTGGACACCCCTGCTCTAGTTGGACGCTTGAGCCGCGTGGGATTGATGGGCCGTGTGTGGGAGAGGTTCACCCCCTTCAAAGGGTCCGTCTTTCGGCACTGGACATTGAGATGCTTGCAGTGTGGGTTTTAGGAAGCTCAGCTCCCATAAGCCTCTTCTTCCTCCTTTCAGGCACCAGCTTTTAATTCTAGAAACCAACTTTAGAATTGCCTGGCCCAGCTTGAGCAGCTAACTTACACAGCACCTTCCCTCTTTTTCCTCCTGAAACGGCGCAGGCTTTCGACTCTTTTCCTCCTCTGTCCCGGGAGACACTGGGGAGCCAGAAGCTGCCCCTCGGAAACGGTCAGCGTTGCAGCATTCCAACTCCAGGTGAGGAATGGGAATGGGAGGGTCTCTGCCATGAAAGGGGGCAACAGACGACCTCGGCTGCTGTAATGTACTGAAGCCTTCTGGCTTGCAATTGGGCCTCAGTCAGTCTTTGAGGCTGGCTCAGGGTCTGGGCTCTGGCGGCCTGCCAGCTGAAGCGTGCCTTGCCCTCCTGGGTGCATTTATTTTATTTGTTTATATCTCATCCAACTCAAGGTGGCAAATATACTAATACTCCTTCCTCCTCCTGTTTTCCCCACAACAGAGGAAGGTGAGGTGGGCTGGGCTGATTGGCCCCAAGATACCCAGATGACTTTCATGCCTAAGGCAGGACTAGAAGTCACTGTCTTCTGGATGTTTGGCCCAAAGTCCTCCACCTGTCCTTCATGCCTAAGGAGGGATTAAAACTTACTCTCTTCTGGTGATTGGCCCAAAATCGCCCAGCCCGCTTTTGTGCCTAAGGTAGAACTAGAACCCACTGTCACCTGATTTCTATCCTGGTGTCTTAACCACTAAACCAAACTGATTTATTGTCAAGCAACAATCTTTAACAATGGAGATAGCCTTGGTCATTTTTAAGCCATGGCTTAGAGGGTGGTGTGGACCAAGTCAGTAGATTTTAACTGACGCCAGTCTAATGTTACCTCTCTTAACAGAGCATAGTAAGATTTGCACAGCATACAGCACCATAAACGGACTCAGTTTGCATAACACGGTGATTGTGTCCACACAGGATAACAAGCACATTTTAGCCAAGTATATTGTGCAAACTCAGTGCATGAAGTTGGGTGTTGTACAAAGAATATTGGTTGAATCACTTGATTAAAGATAAGTCACCATGACACTCATAAAAGGAATGAAACATCTGGTTTTCCAGCTGTTAATATGGTTTCATTAATATACCCCCTCACCCCGCATGTGTTTCATAATAGTACCCGGTTTCAGTCTCAGAATTGTAAGCCATTAATAAGCGTATATAAGTGTTAGCCGAGTATGGGAGAAAACGTAATTCTGCTTTCCTCCCCAGCATTGCTTGTGATTCTTCCAGCGGCCTGGAAAGTGACCAAGAGTGGCAGAGATGCCAAGAGGTTGCGGTGACGGCAGCAGACATCCTGAAGCAGAGTGGTCTGCCCCCACCAGCGGCCCAGGACTCCGGCCAAACAATAGAGGCTGGATGGAAAAAAGTCAAGAAGAAGAAGAAGAGGAAGAAAGGGAAAAAAGAGGAGAATGGCCAGCCAGATGCCATCAAAGCAGTGGGTAATAGCCAGAACAAGGAGCCCTCGTGTCCCAGCAGTCCAGAGGCCATCAGTTGGACAGAGACGATGCAGAGGAAGAGGAAAAGGAGGAAAACAGAAGCAAGAACAGAATGACCATCCCTCCAATACTAATTTGCCAGGGGGAGTTGCTTACAGAGGGCTCCAGAGTTGGACCTGGTTTGGCTGTGCACCCTGGGAAAATGAAGGGACTCTCAGTGATGGAAAACAGCTGCTCCCACTACTGTTGTCTGGGCAGCCGGTGGGGCTGGGATGGATCAGGAGGGCTGCTGTGGCTCCTGGGTAGCACTACAAATTGGGAGGAAGAGAGGGCTGGCATCCCATCAAAGTGGACACTCTGACTGCCGCTTTCTCTGGTGAGCCCCAGCGGCTCTTGGAGCTGCAGGACATGGGGGGGGAGGGGCGGCAGTGAAGACTGTGAGTGGGCATGGATGACCAACTTTGTGGGTCACCTGGTGGAGCAGCCAGAGCAATTTGTTTTCTCACCTGGTCCATCTGAAGAATGACGTGACTCTGCTTTTACAGATATGGTTCCAGTTTCTATGAGATGGTCATTTTGTGAATAGCCAATATATATATATATATATATATATACCTGTTTTATTGACCAAAAGTTAAATATATTTACAAAACAGAGCTGATGAGGCCCTTGATTCTGCAAGTGAAATCTCCAGAGTGCTCTGGGGCTTAAGAGCAGCACTGGGAGCTTGAAACATCCAAATGGATAAATTTGGCTACTGATTTACATGATTCAAAAGCTCAGTGAATAATATTTTGAGCCTCAAATAAGTACAGTGTGATGCATAGATTAGACTTATGCCTGGTTAATTTCTGACTTTCCTTCCACTCTGACTTGACCAGTGGTTTTCCCTCTGGCTTTTTTCTTCTAGCTCCTTCCATGTGAACAATTTGTGGTTCTCCTAGCAACAGAAAGACCTTGGCTTTGCCTGTTTTGTGTGGAGACACTGATGTCCAGCAAGGCCAAGAGTAAGCTAGCATATCCCTAAACATTCCCTCCGAAGGAAGCTTGAATTGTGCATTTTGAGAAGTGGCCTAATTGGCTAAATTGTTGGTGATAGCAGACACAGGTAAGCTTCAGGTCTGCCGCTGGCCACGGTGCAGGTGTCTCCAAAGTCTGATTCCAAGATGAGCAGCCACTAGGGAAAAAGCACAGCTACTATTTTGTGCTTCAAAAAAACCACCTGTGAAAAGAAATGCCTGTTTCTGCAACTGGTTCAAATTATGCCCAGTCAGAGGCTGTGTTATATAACGAACCAAGTACTTGGGGGGGGGGGGTGGAGGCACATGGAGGAAAGCTGATGGAATGCAGGTGGTCTCAAATCCTTTAAGGTGGGGTAGCAACAACAGAGTCGCTTTGTTTCTAACCAATTTATAGAAATGATGCTCATCCTCTTTGGGGATTTATTGCTATTTTTACAAACATCATGAGGACAAGTTACTTGGTTTGCTTATCTCTAAAATGGGAGACGAGACTCTTACCAATACTTTTGCATTTAAACTCAAGGTCCATGTTTTACTTAGGCTCTTAACTCTTACTACAGACGAGTGTGTCTTTTAATTTAACTTTGAAAACAGTATTCTGTTTATGATGTAGGGTGCATCTGTCACACTTGATTGCTGCCAGAGCAGATTCCTGGTGCCTTGCACTAAGGCACAAATGTGTAGAAGTTCCAGGAAGTATCCCCTGCCTGGTTCAGACCTTTGGCATCGGGACTGCTCTCCTTGCAGTTTCCACCTCGGGCCAAGCCTGTGGGGCTGCTTGTGGGCTGAGAACCAGCCAGGACCTCACTGCAACCAGAGACAACTTGAATCTGGTTGGAGAGCAAGTTCTCCCAAGGCTCAGCACCTTGGGAGGTGTGTGTCTCTTCTACATCCTTTATAGAGGATGAGTGCTCCCTTTTTCTGTTCCTCATTCCAGCTCTGCTTTGTCCTTGCTCTGGGGGCCCATCTGAAGAGCAGAAGGGGGCCCATCTACTCCACCATCACTCATCCCTCGGCAGCCAGCCCCAGATCAAAGGATATTGTCCACTACAAGCCCTTCTTGACTACTTTCTCTGGCTTTTCTCAGCAGTGCAAAAACTCCATCTCTGCCTCCTGCTCGCTTGGTACATATTTTTGCTTGGAGTTTTGAAATTACAGTGTGTGTTTTGGAAGGGGTGGGGAGCCATACAAATCCTGGCAGAGGAGGCAGCCAGGGGCATAGCCTGGCCTTCCCTCCCAGGAGCAGGGATGGGGTGCAGGAGAAGTTCCTCGGGATGCAGGCAAGGGCTGCCGAATGTCCAGTTATTGTGTGGAAGAAGCCATATGGGTGGAGATGAAGGTCTCTATCACGCCGTGGGTGGAGGGCAGCAAGTGGCCGTTGGAGGAGTCGGAGCTCTGATAAAGGACCAAACTGCCGGACGAGACTGTTTGGGGGGGAAGAAAGGGAATGGGGTGGGGGCAGAAACAACAGGTGAGCACATCGCACAAGGAGCTTTTCACTCTTTCCTTCACAGTCCAGAGGGGCCGATACTCCCTACCCCCAAAGTATCCAAGTCCTATTTAATCAGCTGATTAAAAAACACGGAAGGGATTATTTTTAAAATGACAGACAGCATGTTTTATTCCTAGAGAGTTTATGGCTGACTATTGGGGGCATCAGAAGAGCTGAACCTCCCATTCTGGCAGGCGACAGTGACAGTGATGATGCCTCGTTGCTAAGCGGATCCCCAAAGAACTAAGGAGGGTCCCTGTCTCCATCATTCGTCCCAGGCCGCTGAAGGCAAAGCTTTCCCTTTCTTTTAGGGCTGTGGGGAGCATTTTGAAAGGGGGGGGGGCGCTGCCAGTATTTCAAAGCCTGAAGGTCCCAGGGGTGGGGATGCCTTACCTCTGCAGACCTTCTCCAGCTGTCTGCATATGTTTGTGTGCACTTGGACAAGACGGAGTGGCTGTGGTTCTGCACACAGATGGCTGGGGTTCTGCATGGTTAGCCACAATTTATTTGCCAAGAATAAAGATAACCAAATGTAGCATTTCTCTGAAGGCAGCTGCCGAACGACTACACTTTAAGGTGTTACGTTCAATTGAGAAGAGATTAAAAACACAGAGACTTTTAAAAAACATTTTAGTATGGGGGACCTTTTCATCACCTATGAAATAGAAACTTTTCTGGCTCCATTATGGAGGCATACAGGTAGTCCTCGAGTTATGACCATAATGGAGACTGTCCATTACGGCCATAAGTCATAATGGTCATAAGGTGGGTTGGTCACACGACCAACCCAATTTTATAACTTTTTTGCAGGGGTTATTAAGCGAACCCAGTGGTCATAAGTGCAAATGTTCTGGGATCTACTAAGAAACAGAACAACTAGTGAAAAGTTGTCGCTTACCGGCAGGGCTGGAGGTCAGGCGGGGTCCCGACTGAAGGTGTGACTGGATGGAGCCTTCCTGGCCCTGCAAGTGGACCGAAGATTGGCTGGTTGGCGTTGGGATCCCAGATTCCGTGGGAGTCTCTGCGTCTGATGTGAAGATCTGGGGGGAAATCGCAACACAAGAGGAGTTACAAAGCTTTCCCAGGCCACTTGCGAGACGCAGCACAGTAGAAAACGGACGTTTTTGTTAAACATCAGTATTGTTTTAGCCAGGCTTAGGAACTAAATTCGATCCAAAACATTCAGAAGAAACGCTTTGAATCTGGCAGAGTGACGGTCCTGCTGCTGTTCAGTATCCAGGGATGCAATGTCTTTGGCAGGGGTGGGATTCAAATAGTTTAACAACCGATTCTCTGCCTTAATGAGGGCTGGGTGGGCGTGGCCATGGTGGGCGTGGCCAGGGGGAGTGACAGGCAGCACTTGGCCTCCTGCACCCCCCTGGGAGCAAAAACGGGCCGCAGGGGGAGAGCGCCACACCTAGTAGGCCTCCCTGCACTTACCTGGGAGCCAAAATGGGGTGCATGGAAGGGGCGAGGAGGGGAGGGGCGGGACCAGCCAGCAATTTAACAACCGGTTCGGCCGAAGTGGTGCAAACCGGTTGAATCCCACCACTGGTCTTTGGTCCTAGAGACTGCAGCTCATGCAGCGTTTATGGGCGTTTCTGTAGGCTATGGGGTTCCTCCTGCCCCTTTATAGCCCCTCCGGCCCCTCAGATCTCCACACAGCTGTTTGTGGAAGAAGACTGAACTGAAGCTTTTCATTATTTACCAGCGTTTGGGGCAGCTGTTAAATTTATTCTTACCCAGTTCCTTTATTTTCAGCATACCCGAAGAAGCCTTTTTTGTCCTTGGTCTCCTTCCCTAAAGCTCCTCTTACTTGGAGTGTTCCCTTTCCTCTCTCTCAAGACTCTCCTCTTCCGTGAGAGTCGCCTGCCTCCCCATTTCCCTCTTTAGATCTTCACTTGGCCTTTTTGCGTGGCTCTGCTCTTGTGTTTCTATTTCCTTCCTTGATTTATTTGTTAACGGCACTTTTAAAATCTCCTCCTTCAGGATCAGCTATCCATCCCGAAGCCCTCTTCCCATTTCTCCTTCCTGCCACATCTTCTATTTATCATTGGTCTCTTTTGAACAAAGTTCAAATTCATTAAAGTCCAAGACTTTGCTCAGACTTATTATTTGTTAAAATCGGGAGCCAGCATTAAATGGTCCATTTCCATTAATTTTCCTACTGCTTCCATTTCCTCAGCTAAACTTCCTATGGCTTAGCATGCAGTCCAGGACGGCTGGACCTCTTTGGCCTTCCTGGACTCTCCCCTGGAGCGAATGGTCAGCAAGAGAAGTTCGGAATGTCCTGAAAGGGCCAAGAGAGGGCCAAGCCTGCTTAGGCCGGAAACCCTATCATTTCAGAAAAATGGTTATCCAATCTCTTCTTAAAGATTCCCAGTGTTGCAGCATTTACAACTTCTGGAGGCAACTTCTGTTCCACTGGTTGGTTGTCCTCACTGTCAGGAAGTTTCTCCTTAATTCCAGGTTGCTTCTCCCCTTCTCCCCATCCGTTGCTTCTTGTCCTGCCTTCGGGTGCTTTGGAGAATAGCTTGACTCCCTCTTCTTTCTTAGCACCTACAATTGCTGGCCCCAAACTTTGCAGGCAAGTTCCCCTTAATTTTTCCTACTTCTTCATTCAGTTCCTTCTTCTTTAAAGCAGCTGGGTTCTCCCAACCCACAGCTTCTGTGGGGGGAGGGAGTAGCACCTGCTTTAAAGAGTTGCATTCACAATAACAAGCTAACTGCAGCCTGAAAAAGACGGGCTGCTCGAATGAATAATCAGGGGGAACTTTGCTTCTACTTGCAGGAGGTCCAAAGGCCTTCTGAATCCTTTTCAAAGCGTGCACAGACCTTAAAATAACATTCAATCTAAAAAAGCAAACTAAACTTCAAAATACCATAAAACCAGTAAAAAAAGGCAATCTTGCCACCCTTGGCCTTTGATCTTTTAATCTTAAAAACTTTGGAGGAGAAGATCAAAGGCACAAAGCTGGCCATAAAGCTAGGAGAGAGAAGGCAGGAAGTAACTAGATGGCATTATAGAGGAGGCCCCGTTTTCTCTTGTCTTCTGTCTAGCAAACATCTCAGCTTTTTATGGCCAAGGAAAACCTGCCCTGTGGGCAACTTTCCTGTTTAAGCAAGAGTGGGACACCTTTTGTTAAGCGAAGAGTGCCGAGTGGCTTGACAAGGAGATGGGCAGCACAGACATTTGATAAATGAATAAAATGCAACCTGCTCTCCTTGCCAACCAAAGAACTGGAGGATACCTTGCAGGAACAAAGCAACCTTGCCAGATAAAGGAGGGTCAATATTGGAGGGGGTGGGATGTTTAACCTTAAGGGTGAGAAGGAGAGCAGGGCCTCTGTGGAGGGGAAATGCTTCCATTCATCCCCTCCAGAAATGACCCAAAATTCTATTTGAAAGTTGGGATGCAAAATTTAGCAGGAACAAGAGATTTAATTTCAGGTTGTGAAACTCACACTCGTGTTTGGCTAGCAGTGTTATCTAATTGTTTTTGCAAACCACTAGTTTCTTATAAAAGAGAGAATTTGCAGCTCAGGGTTGAACTGTTGGGTCTTTGGTGCTCTGAGTTTGCTTGTTTTCTTGCAGATGTTTTGTTATCCAGCTAGATAACATTGTCAGTGCTAGAAGAGAGTGGGGTTTTCTCTCAGTTTACATACTAGTTTCTGGTTCTGCAGAAGAAACTGTAGGATTAGTCCCTCCCTCCCCTCGAGAGACTTGCCTCTTGGGCCTAAGTTTGGTCTGCTGTGGATGCAGAAGCAGACCCCACGTGCTTCGGCTCAGCTTGTTCTCTGTTGCCGCTTGGGCCACGTGGGTGTTGGCCCCTTGGGCTCCCTTCAGCTGTGCCCCCCCCCAAAGTCTCCCCTCACCTGTTTGGTTGGCGTCAAGCTGGCCAAGGTACTGAGGTTCGCCGTGTCTGTGATCACCATGGTCTGGGGGAGAAGACTGGTATGTGCGTACTGGGTCATCTCTGGCTTGTGGCTATAGAGAGCTGGGAATAATGGAGATCAAGAAGGTACCATGAACCATGGAGGCCTTGAGGGACAGGCTGGAAGGTCCTCCTTCCCATCAGCTCCAAGGTGCAGGAAGGCTGCTTGGCGTGGAGCATTCCCGGGATGGCCGTCCTCCCTTCCAAACCTACCATGAGGAGCCTGGATCTGGGCCATGGTGGCCATGAAGGGGCTCTGGTTGAGGTGACCCTGGACCTGCTGCATGATAGGTTGCTGGTAGGATGGGTGCAGCTGCTGGGAGAACTGGACCGGCTGGAGGGTGGTGAGGCTGCTGCCCATGTTGTTGATCATAGGGACGCTCTGCGCTTGGGTGGAAGCCAGACCTGGCAGACAGGAGAGCCTTCGTCAGGCTGGGCTGCAGCAGCACCCAGAGCTTGTGGGGATGCGGTATCCGGGTGCCTGGCTGTCAAACCCCCAGTGGCTCCCCTTTAACATGAACCCGCAGCCCTCATGCACACCGCCACACAATTGGATGGGTTCACCATCATGCTAACCCATTTGCTTGGTTTTGTCCTAGCAGATTCTTTTCTGCCAAATGGGATGACTAGGTTACTGGCTAGTCCCATGATGGCTTGTTCGATCAACCATGCAAATTGGCTTTAAAAGTCTAGCCACCGAGCTGAAACATATGGCTTTTCATAGTGTGCCATGCATTTGATTGGTAAACTATGGTTTATAGGATTTTGTTATGCACAAATGTTGGTTAAGATGAATTGGGGCTTCATGGAATGTATGAAGCCACCCACATTTGCAAACCTATTAACCTGAAGCACAAATTTCAGTGCGGCACCTTTGGCTACTTCATCGGGTCCTTTGGATGAAGGCTGAGCTCAGTGGTCCTCCGGCCATAACATTTTCCTCCCCAAAATACCATCTCGGCTGGAAGGCCTCAAGCTATGGGCAGCCCCTGCCAGTAAGAGAGGAATGCCCAGCTGGGCAGCAGAGGGCAGGGCTCCTGAAAAGAGAGCTGCCCTGCATGGGGGTGGCTGCCAGCTCCTTTCATGCTGCCTAGAATGAGCCCCCTCTCCGCACCCAATGCCTCCTCACTTACCAATGACTAAGGTGGAAGCCCCTGTGTTGGTGAAGGTTGGTGCAAGCGAAGGTGTGTCTCCAGGGCCAATGGCCATGACCCCCGGGAGGGAGGCCATGATGAGGTTCTGTGTTTGATGGCTCAGGGCGTGTGGGTTGGGCTCCAGGCTGTGCAGCGCTGTCAGGGTACTGACGGGGGGGGAGCGAGCCCCCTGGAGCAGAGATCTGTGAGACAGGAAGGAAGCCACAAGGTCTAAGGACCCTTTTGAACCTGGCAGGTGTCTGGAGACCACAGTAGTTCCCAGAGACCTTTAAGCCAAAAGTCTCTGCCATCCTTTGCTTGATCTGGCTGCTCTTGATCCCGGCTGGTCCTTCTCTTCTCCTGCTAGAGTCAACGCCCAGCTTGGACATAAATGTGCTGGGTGATCAGAGTGTCCAGGTAACATTCCCTTAATAATCTGCCATTTGTAGATGGCACATGCCAGGAGCGGGAAGCCCTCAAGATACACCCACCCGGGGCCTATGCCCACCACTTTGCTACTGGATCACCGAACCAATGGCCAAGATCGCTACCAGACCGGGTGATCCGGTTTGATCCGGGAGCATTTCACCCCTGGTCTCGGGCATCTTTCACTCACCAGCTTGGTGTCTGGTCCTGAGCTGGTGGAGCAGAGGCTCGGGGAGGAAACTTGGTGCAGGATGGTCTGGGTGGTGGTGATGGAATTGTGCTGGCTGTTGTTGGAGGAATTGGTTTCACTGACTGGCTGCTGGCCGTACCTCATGCCCGGGTCCGAGAAGGAGAGTCCTTGTGGCTGCTGCTGCTGCTGGAGAGGAGAGGGCTCTGAAACGACAAAAGCAACAAGAAAGCCTCATCAAGTAGATGCCTTGGTGAGCATGGCCAGGGACAAAAACCCTGTGCCACAAACTGGGGAGGGGGTTTCCTGCCACAAGCTTTTGCCCCCAGGGTAACTCTGCTATGCTGCCTGATCTGCGTCCTCTTGCTCAGCCAGGGGCAAACAGTAGTATTTGGAAACTAAGTGGGAGGGTGGGGGGTACTTAGGAAGTGTTTCAGTCCCCTGAGGACCACAACTTTTCCTGCTCCATGGACTGGTGGGGGAGGGGATGGTTTCAGGTGTGCAACCAAATCCTGTGTATGTGCAAATGCAGCTTTGCACACTTGCCTGCTGTTTGCACAGACCGGTTTCCAACACGCCGCGAACTGGTAGCAGGCCACGGACGGGGGGTTTGGAGACCTTTGCCTTAGAAGACCTTAACCTCCTTCTGCCCTCCCCCTCTCCAGAGCTTGGCAGAACTCGAGGCTACAAAGCAGATGCTCCAAGTTAGCAAAGCTCCAGCATGTGTTTTTCAGGTGAGACCGGTCTATCAGGGCAACCTGGTCCACCCAACTATGGGACGGAGCACAAAGCTTCTGCTTTCGCTTTCCAGCCCCAATCCAGGAGCCTTCGTAGGCAGCAGCTTTCACGACAAACTATATTCGTGTTGCATTTATATTTTACTGACAAATCTTCCTGTTTCTTTCAAATCTTCCTCCTGCATCTTCCTGTTTTGCTTAGAAACAGAACTTTACATGTGAATATACAGGTCGTCCTCGGCTTACAGCCATCCATTCAGAGGTGAAATCCAAACCAGTTTGCTACCGATTTGCTGGGCGTAGATGCGCAGTGCGTGCCAAATGTGTGCTGTGCATGCATGCGCAGTACGCACCAAAAGGAGGCTGGGAAGGTAAGTAGAAGCAAGGGTCAGGTGGGGATCAGCTGTGGCGCACGATAGCAGGATTTCCTGCTTCCTAGCAAAGCTAAACCCCGCTGCACACCCCGCTGTCGGAAATACTGGTTGGGAGGAACCGGTAGCCTTTTTTAACTACTGGTTCTTCCTTACCAGAGTGAACTGGTAGCATTTTACCCCTGCATCCATTTTGTTACCGTGGAAAGTTACAGCAGCAAAAAAAAAAGCGGCTTCCTCGCGTTTATAACCCTCCCAGCATCCCAGGGGTCACGTGGGTGATAAAAATTCAGGCACTTATATTCATCAATACCGGACTAGGGGGATAATGTAGGGGCATTATTTTAGATCACTTTTTGGGGGACTTGTTTAGTTTTTGCTTTGTTTTTATTTTTGTATTTTGTTATTATTGTTATTTTCTTTTTTGTTGTTGAAGTTTGTATTTTAACTAAAATAAAAATAAAAAAAAATAAAAAAATTATCACGTGACTGGCATGTAGTACAGTATTTAGGAGAGTTGCAGTGTCCCAGGGTCACGTGATCGCCACCTTCCCAGCCAGTTTCCAACAAGCAAAGTCAGCTGTTGGAGAGGGAGCCGGATTCGCTTAACGACCTCAAGATTCATTTAATCTTTAAAGTGATTTAAATGGGGGTTTTGTCCCTGGCAACCGTGGCAAAAAGAAGATTGCAAAGTCAGGTATGATTCATTTAACAACCACCTTGCTTAGCCATGGAAATCTTGGTCCCAATCATGGTCATAAGGCAAGGGCTACGTATATGTTGATATATTAAAAAAAAAATGTATATATACCAGGAGTGAAATGCTACCGGTTCGCACCAGTTCAGACAAATCGGTAGTGATAAAAGCTACTGGTTTGGGCAAACAGGTAGTTAAAAAAAAGGTCTCGGTTCGTCCAAACCAGTATTTCTGACGTTCAGTTGTGCCGCGCAATTTAAATTTGCGAGAAAGCAGGAAACCCTGCTCTCTGGCGAATATAAATCACACGGCACAGCTGCTTCCCCCCCGCCCGCTGTTCAACTTACCATGTTAAGCCTCCTTTTTCCGCGCAAAGCGTGCATTTGGTGCGCACTGCGCATGCACACAGACACTTTTGGTGCACAGCGTACACGCAGCGCGCATTTGGCACAGCGTGGTCAGCGAACCAGTGGCAATCCGCAGAGGATTTCACCACTGATATATACCCACTTCTTAGTAACAGAATAACAGAATTGGAAGGGACCTTGCAGGTTTTCTAGTCCAACCCTGTTCAGGCATTCCAGACAACCCTCTGTACCATTCCAGAGAAGTGGCTGTCCGACCTCTTCTTAAAAACTTCCAGTGTTGGAACAAGTTCCACTGATTAATTGTTCTCACTGTCAGGAAATCTCTCCTTAGTTCTAAGTTGCTTTTCTCCTTGATTAGTTTCCATTTATTGCTTCTTGTCCTGCCTTCAGGTGCTTTGGAGAATAGCTTGACCCCTTCCTCTCTGTGGCAGCCCCTCAGATATTGGAAGGCTGCTATCATGTCACCCCTAGGCCTTCTTTTTATTAAACTAGACATACCCAATTTCTGCAGACATTCTTCATATATTCTTCATACGTCCCTGCCCATCTCCCTCTGCCCTGCCACCCCCTGCCTGGCACTCACCATGGACTTTGCTTGGGGACAGAGGAGTTGCCGATTGGAGAGAAGAGGACCCATGAGAGGCCAAAGTGGGCACGGAACTGGGCTGGGAGCCGTTGTAGCTGTCCATAGCAAGCTTGTGCCTGAAGGCTTCCTCTTTACGGCGGTTGGCAAACCAGTTGTAAACCCTCACCTCGGTCACCAGGTTGGAGCCCAGCCCCTGGGCCTGGGATGGAGAGACGCCACGCTGAAGACACTCTGCCCTGCCAAGGAAGGGCATGGTTGGGTCAGATCTGGAGCAATCATAGGACCTCCCCAATTGGATATGTTCCCAATATGGCACAACACAATTTCTGGAAGTTCTCAGCAACTGACTGGGAATTTTGGAAGCTCAACCTTTTTTTTTTTTTTTTTAATTTGATTTATATGCCGCCCTTCTCCGGAGACTCAGGGCGGCTTACAATGTGCTAACCTTCTCACCCTTGGCCACTTAAAGATTGTGGTTGTGGAATTCTGAGAGTTGAATTCAGTGGCCAAGGTTGAGAAATAATTATGAAGTTTAGGAAAACTTAAGTGACCTCCAAGAATGCATGATAGTTCTCTCTAGGGAAGGAAAGTTGATAACTTGGTTAGTATCTCATTCAATCCTGATGTGCTCAAGGCAGAATTATCAGTTCGCAGCAAGCTAAGCACAATTGGCTCCTTTCAAGAAGAGTTTCCACACTTCTGCTAAACCATAAATTACAATTGCTGGATTTACATAGCGCATCAAACCAAACCTAGCAGACCGTTTTATGGCTCATTTGATAAGTGAAGCAAGTTGAAGAGATAGGGTGCATCACTCTGACAAACTATTCAAACCAGTCCTCAGAAAGAATATACACATCATGGTGACCACCATCCCAAAAGATGGCTTATTCAGCCCAACATGCAATTGCAGAGAAGTATTGTGCGCCGGAGCTGGTGCTGATGAACCTCAAAATGCTTATGTAGAAGCCCAGCATATTTAGCAAGATTCAGGCCTTCAGAACAGACAAACTGTCATTGAACTGCTTCTCCAGAGTTAGGAAGAGAGCCAGTTGGGCCTAGTCATTAAAGCCTCAGGCTAGAAAGCAGGGGACTCTGAATTCAAGTCCTGCCTTAGCCATGAAAGCTGGCTGGGTGACATTGGCCATTCACCAGGTGACTGGGAGTTCTAGTCCTGCCTGAGGAATAAAAACCAGCTGGGTGACTTTGGGCCAGTCCCTCTCTCCCAGTCCAGTCCACTTCACAGGGTGGTTCTTGTGGGGAAAACAGGAAGGTGTGTTGGATATGTTCGTCACCTTGAGTTATTTGTAAAAATAATAAAAGCAGGATATAAAGAAACAAATAAAAATAGGTAAGTTTGAAGGTTTTTGCCATGAATAGCCCAGGGAAGCTCTCATGTATTTATTCTGCTAATTGTAATCAAACTATGATTGTACTGAATCTCTCAGTGTTCTTTTTTTTTTTTTGCATCAAGCTCAGATTGATGGTTAGTTGTTTCAGGTTAATTTGGAACAAAATAGAGATGGGAGGGTGAAGGAGCATTCTCCCCCTTTTCATGGAGCAGGTTGTCTTGTTCGACTGAGGGAAATTGATGAGATCTCAACCCTCCCTCCCCAAGGGTTTCTGGAGGCTACTGGACTTGGCACATGGAGGAGGAATTCACTTCCCATCTTGTGGGGCTGGATCAAGGAGCCGTTGGCCTGGCAGGGCCTTTCCAGTGGTGGCCTGCGGGAGGCTCTGAGAGGCACAGAGGGTGGACTTTATAATACTTGAAACATGGTTTTGCAATACTGTTGCACTGTGTAGTTAACATGGGTTTTCTTGTATTTATTTTAAATTTGTTTTTTCAATTGTGTTGCTAATAATTTCCCACAAACCTTCAAGAAAAAGCCTCTCTTTCAGAAACCAGGACTGGCAGGAGAGCATTCAACACATTATAGATAACAGTTTCATTTTTAGCTGTTCTCAAACTTTGGTGAACAAAGGAAATAGTCAAGCCAACCTTGGGAAGCGCCGAGAATGTATCTTACCCAACCCATTTGGATGTTTTTCCTTTGCAAATGTTTCTTTTGCTTTTGCTGAGCACACAATGCCCTTTCCTATGGCTATGCTGTAATTCTTGTGATGTAACTGAACAGATGACTATTCCTAAACCAATCTGCTTTTGCTTTGAAGCTCTAACTATAAAGGTAGATGTAATCCATTTCTCTGGGTTCCCCCTTTTCATAGGGAGACCGAACTTTATCAGAGTACTCTAATAAATTGCTTTTAAGTGATCTTCCGACTTGGTTGCTTATTCAAAAGGGGAAACCGAGGCCGGATTTGGCCAACAGCTCCCAAGTGGGATCCAAAGGTCTTCCCCCAAAGAGGCCCTTTCCGGAACGGGCACGAGGCAGTGTCTGTCTCCCCGGTACCTGTTGCATTCCTCCACCAGAGCCTCCCTCTCTTCCTTGCTCGGGTTCTTCTGCCTCTCGTAGGCTTGGAAGAGGATCTGCTGTGACGCCGGGCCCCACTTGAACCGGTTCCTCCGGCCCTTCTTGACCGGGAGCTCCTCCCCCATCGGGTCCTCCACCATGAGGCCCTGGCCGGCATGGGTGAATTCTGGAAGGGCAAAAAGAGACTCTGGGAAGGGATCAACGGGGCAGGACTGGAAAGCAAAGGATTGCTGAGCTCTGGAGAAGAGAGCAGAAGCAGCTCCTTTGCAGGTTTTCTTGGGGTCTTGGTGGCTTCTGTATTCGGCTAGCTTCCCCCCTCCCCCCCGTCTGTTCCCTCCAAGGTCAAAGGCTATTGATGGTTGGGAATAATTTATTCATTATTATTTATTTATTTACTAAGCACATTTATATAGCCACCCAAGTCAACAGTGTACAATATTAAATATTCACAATTAAAAATTCACAATTTCACCCCACCCCAATAAGAAATTGGGAATAATGGGAGCTGTTGGAGCCCTGCTTTAGATCCCACCTCTAAAATCTGTCATCTTGCAGTGTCTGAGGGATGCTGCTAGGCAATTTTACATACGTGACAGAAAGGACACAGTTAATTACATGTATATGTACAATTAATTAAATCAAATTAAACCTAATTGTGGGTTTGCTGCCTATTCCTCTTGTCTTGACCCCCATCATCTTTTTGGGGGTATAGATTCTAGAGTGATATTTGCAGATTCCTCCCCCCCCCAAAAAAAAAGTTTGCAAGGATTAGGATTTCAGATCCAGAAGATGACATGTTACTGTATTTCCACAGGAAACATTTTCTGCTTGGCTTGCAATCCAGAAAGGGGCCATAATAATACACTCCCTGCCCTTTGGCAGGTGTGGCTAACATCTGGCCATTTCCTGCTGAGAACCATCAATGAGAAACGGAGACAAAGGAGCCGTCGAGCCTCAGAACTGGCTCAGAGCCTCTGATGAACTGAAGAAGTAGCCTTCCCCAGGCCCACCCACCCTCCGTTCTGCCTCACCCTCTGCCCACAGCAGCCCTCAGCCCCAGGAGGAGGAAGACCTGCACAGATCTCGGGTTGGGTCTGCCTAGGGCACCATCTCCCACCTCTGCACTGGGAAAGCTTGCTCAGAGGAGCAATGCCTCCAATCTGAGCGTCCTGGAGCAGAGATACCTCCCAGAGTCCGAGCTGGCCCCTGGTCTACCCGCAGGGGTCTTGGGAAGGGACACGCTGCTGGTTGCTGTACTTACGCTGGGCCACCTCTCGTTGCTTGCGAACGTACCAGGTGTACAGGGCAGCTCTCTTCTGGGTCTTCATGGGGGTGCCCTTGTTGAGATGCTGGGAGAGGTGGGACTGGTTCAAGCCCGTTGTGTCCACCACCTCCCGTTGAGGGATGTTGTGCTGCTGGAGGTAGGACTTCACCATCTTTGCCACCCTCCAGGGATCCTCCCTGGAAGAGAGAGAAAGCGGCTGTCTCAGAGAGGGGTCTTTGCCCCCCTCCGAATCCTGAGATACAATTTATTTATTTAAGAAAATGTATATGGCCACCCAACTCACTCTTGGTGACTCCGAGCAGCTTACAAGGATAAACAATCCAGAATTGCTAGGTTCATACAATGTCTTGCCTCCAAATGAATCAAGGTCTTAGGGATAACATTCAGTTCTCTGATTCCTGGAACATGAGAAGACACTGGCTACATGCCCAGTGCCCACAACTCTGTTTTATCCCACTGATATTAAATTAGACCATACTAGGAAGCCAGCATCATTCTTGCTAAGACTACTTTTATTCCAAGATCTTAGTAACAGAATCCTGCAAGTCTGAAGCCCCCTCCTTCCACCCTCCCTCTCATTTTCTTCAAGAGAACCAAGAAGGATCTTGTCTGAGATGCTTTCTGGCCCAGAGTCAGATTGCTTCTTTCTCTGACCATTGTCTTGCTGACAACTCTTCCTCCAGTCCCTGAAGGTCAGGAGTCTGCAAGCTTGGCAGCTTTAAGAATTGTGGACGTCAACTGGCCATGCTTGCTCAGGAATTCTGGGAACTGAAGTCCACAGGTCGTAAAGTTGCTCTGGTTAGCAGTCAAGGAGAGGGCGAGTTCTAGTCCTGCCTTAGCCAGCTGGCTGACTCTGTGCCAGACCTGCTCTCTTGGCCCATGGCCTCAGGCTCAGATTGAAGCCAGTCAATCCTCTTCCTAACTCAACCAACTGATCAACCACCTGGTTGATCAAAAGCAAAACAAACAAACAAAAAGGCAGACCCAGAACTTGTGGGAAAAACACTAAGAAGAAAAAAACAACTTTAGAGAAATGCTAGGCAGAATCCTGCGGACAAAATTTCTCTGATAAAGGGAGGGAGTGCAAGAGAACTTCTCAAAAACTAAGATGGCAACCAATGAGGAAAAAGCAGCTCAGGAATCCACCCAAGATGCCCAAGGAGCTTTTGACCAAAGGATCAAAAGGAAGCCTGTCAGACAGCAGCTAATGCAGGAAGTCGGAACCCCTGAAGGGCCAAAGCAGCAGAGCTCACAAGGGAAGCCGAAAGCAATAAAAGCCCCTTTTGGCTCTAGGGGTGGTAAAACCAGGAGGAGGAAGGGGTGGGCGGCTGCTAAAATGGGGAGAGGGCCCAATTCCTACTTGGTTCCTGGCTTCTCCTCTGGGGGAATTGCACTCAAAGGGCTCTAAGTAGGATGGTGGACAAAAGGAGGGAGTAGCAAAAAAAAAATAGAATAACATAATGGAACCTTGGAGATCTTCTAGTCCAACCGCTTGCACAAGCAAGAGACCCTATACATTCCAGACAAATGATTGTCCAGCCTCTTAAAACCCTCCATTGGTGAAGCACCCACAACTTCTGGAGGCAGGCTATTCTACTGATTAATTGCTCTGACTGTTAGTTAGTTAGTTAGTTTGTTAGTTTATTTGATTTGTATACCGCCCTACTCCCGAAGGACTCAGGGCGGTGAACAGCCAACAATAAAATACATAAATACACAAAATTTAAAAACCCGATAAAATCAAATTAAATTATTTGGCCCAGACAAATTAAAATACCCCAATAATTTAAAAACAGATTAAAATTTACGTATTTAAAAAGGGAAGAGATCAGGCCAAGCCCGCTTGATGGAATAAAAAGGTCTTCACAGCACGGTGGAAGGAGCGCAGATCCGGGATCCTCCGTATCTCCGGGGGGAGCTCATTCCAGATGGTAGGTGCCCCCACAGAGAAGGCTCTCCCCCTTGTCAGGAAATTTCTCCTTGGTTTTAAGTTACTTCTTTCCTTGATTAGTTTCTATCCATTGCTTCTTGATCAGCCTTCAAGTCAGGGGTGAAATGTTCCTGGTTCAGACTGGATTGGGTGATCCGGTAGTGATTGTGGCAAGTGGTTCGGAGAACCGGTAGCGATGGTGGCGCATGGCTCCACCCACCTACCTGGGTGTCGTTACTTTATTTTTATTTTTTATTTTATATTGGATTTCTATACCGCCCTTCTCCCTGAGGACTCAGGGCGGTGTACAGCCAGATTAAAAAACATGCAGAACAAATATTAAAAACAATTAAAGATATATAAATTTGGCCCAATTAAAACTCATTTACCAATTAAAAACGTTTAAAACATTTAAAAACAGTTAAAAATTTCATCTTAAACCAGCCCGGCTTGTTTAAATAAATGGGTTTTAAGGGCGCGACGGAAGGCACTGAGGTCTTGGATTCTCCTTATCTCTGGGGGGAGCTGATTCCAGAGGGTATGTGCCCCCACAGAGAAGGCCTCCCCCTGGGGGTCACCAGCCTACACTGTTTGGCTGATGGCACCCCGAGGAGGCCCTCTCTGTGGGAGCGCACGGGTCGATGGGAGGTCGTTGGTAGCAGCAGGCGGTCTCAAGATAGCTAGGCCCTATGCCATGGAGCGCTTTAAAGGTGATAACCAACACCTTGAAGCGCACCCGGAAGACAACTGGGAGCCAGTGCAGCTCGCGCAGGAGCGGTGTTACATGGGAGCGCCATGCTGCTCCCGTCACTACCCGCGCTGCTGCGTTCTGGACCAGCTGGAGCCTCCGGGTGCTCCTCAAGGGGAGCCCCATGTAGAGAGCGTTGCAATAGTCAAGGCGAGAGGTGACGAGGGGTGTGAGTGACTGTGCACAGGGAATCCCGATCAAGAAAGGGCCGCAACTGGCGAATCAGGCGAACCTGACAAAAGGTCCCCCTGGTTACAGCCGTCAGATGTTCCTCCAAGGACAGCTGCATATCCCAGGAGGACTCCCAGATTGCGAGCCCTCTCTGTGGGGGCCAATGACTTGCCCCCAATAGTCAGTGATGGAGTCAACTGACTATATCGGGATGCCGGGAGCCACAGCCACTCAGTCTTGGAAGGGTTGAGCTTGAGCCTGTTCCTCCCCATCCAGATCCGTACAGCCTCCAGGCACTGGGACATCACTTCAAGGGCATCGTTGGGGTGGCCTGGGGTGGAGATGTACAGCTGGGTGTCATCAGCGTACTGGTGGTATCTCACCCCAAAGCCACGGATGATCTCACCCAGCGGCTTCACATAAATGTTGAACAGGAGAGGCGAGAGGACCGATCCCTGCGGCACTCCACAAATGAGAGGCCTCGAGGTCGACCTCTGCCCCCCTGCCAACACAAACTGCGACCGGTCGGAGAGAAAGGAGGAGAACCACCGCAACACGGTGCCTCCCACCCCCAACTCTTCCAGCCGGTGCAGCATGATACCATGGTCGATGGTATCAAAAGCCGCTGAGAGGTCTAACAGGACCAGAACAGAGGAACAACCCCTGTCCCGAGCCCTCCAGAGATCATCAACCAACGCGACCAATGCCGTTTCTGTGCTGTGCCCAGACCTGAAACCCGACTGGAACGGATCTAGATAAGATGTTTCCTCCAGGAATTGCGGAAACTGTCGTGCGACCACACTCTCAACAACCTTCGCCATAAAGCGAAGGTTGGAGACAGGACGATAGTTGGCCAATATTGCCGGATCCAGGGACGGCTTCTTGAGGAGAGGCCTCACCACCGCCTCTTTCAAGGCGGTGGGGAAGTAACCCTCACTCAACGAAGCGTTGATAACACCCTGGAGCCAGCCTCGTGTAACCTCCCGGGAAGCCAGTACCAACCAGGAGGGACACGGGTCCAGTAAACATGTGGCCGCACTAAGTCTCCCCAAAATCCTGTCCACATCATCAGGAGTCACAGCATCAAACTCCTCCCAGATAACATTCTCAAGACTATTCCTCGTCACCCTGCCCTGATCTACCCAGTCAGAGTCCAAATCCCCCCGGATCTGGGCGATTTTGTCATACAGGTATTGTCCGAAATCCTCCGCCCTGCCTTCTAAGGGATCCTCCCGCACTCCCGAATGGAGCAGGGAGCGGGTCACCCTAAACAGGGCGGCCGGACGATTCCCTGATGACGCAATAGAGGCGGAAAAGTAGTTAGACTTTGCCGTCTCTATCGCCACTAGGTAGGCCTTAATATGCGACCTTACCAGTGTTCGATCAGATTCAGCGAGACTGGCCCTCCAACCGCTCTCCAGGCGTCTTTTCCGGCGCTTCATTTCCCTCAGCTCCTCAGTAAACCAAGGAGCCGCACGGGATCGGCATCGGGTCAGAGGCCGCAAAGGCACAACTCGGTCCAAGGCCCCACCAGCCGCCCGATCCCAGGCGGCTACCAGGTCCTCGGCCGAGTCATGTGCTAGATCCTCAGGAAATGGCCCAAGCTCCATCTGGAACCTATCAGGATCCATCAGGCGCCTGGGGCGGATCCATCTAATTGGATCCGCCTCCCTGCGGCGAGGGGTCACGGTTCGAAGATCTAGGCGAAGGAGTGAGTGGTCAGACCATGACAAGGGTTCCATGTCTATATCCCCTATAACAAGACCACTCAACCACTGGCCAGAGACAAAAATCAGATCCAGAGTGTGACCTCCCCTGTGAGTAGGGCCATGAACTAACTGGGTCAGGTCCATGGCCGTCATGGAAGCCATGAACTCCCGAGCCACCTCAGACGTTTCACCGACGGATGGCAAGTTGAAATCACCCATGACTAAAAGCCTGGGTGTATCTACTGCCACCGTGGCTATCACGTCGAGTAGCTCAGGTAGGGCTGTTGCCACGCGGCAGGGAGCCAGGTACGTAAGCAACAAGCCCATCTGAACCCCACGGCCCCACCTCACAAGGAGGGACTCACATCCGGCTATCTGAGGCACAGTGGTCTCCCTCGGACCCAGATCCTCGTTAATAATAACCGCCACCCCCTCGCCCCTCCCCTGAGCCCTCGGCTGATGGAATGCTCTGAAGCCTGGTGGGCACATTTCAACCAGAGGGACGCCACCCTCCGGGCCCAACCAGGTCTCCGTAATACCCGCCAGGTCCGCTCCTCCCTCTTGTATAAGATCGTGGATGAGGGGGGCCTTATTGACCACGGACCTGGCATTGCACAG